AGATTTATGTACTTTTAGGATAGTTAAAGTAATTAAAACTGTTTTTTAACGATTACGCAGAAATTTGCTTCTTAAAATACTCCGTTAAAGTGTAACACACTCCGTAAACTTATGTTAATTGCCTTTAATGCACTGGAAACTCAGTTTCGGAATTCACACGTTAGGCCTATTCTGGTAAGGCCTGTATGGAGCCGGGCCTATAGACGTATAATTAGGTTAAGGCAGACGACGGGAGGATGTCTTGTCGTTTTCTCAAGGTAGAGGTCATTGGATCTGTCGAAAGGTTCTTTGCCCTCACGTGATCGATGACTACCGTGACGTCACTTCCTGGCCTCATCGGACGGAAACAGGTGCACTAATTAAGTCAGAATGTTGGGTAACGGTTCAACGATTTGAGCAGGATGTTGACATCGCGACCGGTCAAGGTTGCATTTCGTTGACCAGGTGGGCTAGTCGGTAAACACCTGGTCACCAAGGCCCAATACCCAATTAAACAAAGCCGGACCGTTTTTGTAACCGATTCTTCCTGTTTATCCGCCTCTTCTTCTTAGGCCTGAAGCTCCTTCTTGCATTTTAATATCTCGAAATGTATCTGTTGGATTTTTATCAAACTTATAGCGATTCTCAGTCACGCGATGTGTGAAATTTATCTTTAATAGCACCCCTACTGGCTGTTTTTTATTACTCGAATATTAGCTACATCATTTAGGTTTTAAATCCATCTCCGAGTTGTGTTCTTTACATCCGTGTTGTTTCCATGTGAATCATTATCATTCAAACATCTTTGGTAAATAGCAACAAACTGGCCTAAGATAAATTCACAAGAATCAACGAACAGCAAATACCGAAGAAGCTTTTCCACTGAAGTCTCAATTGTCAAAAGATCTTAAAGGTCCATTATAACCATAAAAGATATTAAACCAAGAAATTAGCGTGAAAAATTCAGTAAATCTTCATTTGTTTTTATAAAAACAGAGATTATTATAAAAGAAGCCTTTAAAAGTTGAAAAAATTATTTTATGAAAGGATTATGATTGAAGATCTGCATACGAAAAGCATATATCAATTGAGTTCTTCAGAAAGAAACCAACATCCTTCATTGCTCCTTCATTAAAACACTGCAAAAATATATAACAGAAACATAGATAAATAATACAAAATATTAATTTAAGTCTTTCAGAGTGTTTCGTGGTTTTTGCTTCGCTGTTTGCCTGTCGATTATCAATGCTTTTGGATATTGTTTCAAGGGTTCCGGCAGCCTATATGATTTGTACAGTATATCGGTTCTTTTCTACAAATTCCATTCGATTTAAAACGGATTTATTAGCTTAATTGTAGGCTACACTTAAATCAATTTTTGATAGAAATCGATTTACTTAAAGGTCAGTTGAATGAAGTTGGGCAAAATTCGTAATTGCTTTTGAACGTGAAGATTAGGAAGAAACTAAAAGAATGCTAACCAAAGAATATATCTAACAAAGTAAAAATCTTTGGGATTTTTTAAATGATTGCTTTTAAGCGCAATTGTAAAACAGTTTTCGGGTATCTGCACTCTTTATTGGTCTTTTTTTTCCTAGTTATTTGAAAACCTCGAGTTTACGCTTCGAGATCAATTTGCAATACACCTTCAGAAGTGAAGATCAATTAACTGAGTGTCCCTCCCATTTTGGTTAAGCTTAGTAAATGCCTTAAAGGATCAAGGATCAGAAAGAAGAAAGAGAAATTATGATACTTATAGACGTTACCGAAAACCCCTATGCTCGAGCAATGGGGTGTAGGAGAGACGTCGATAGCATCTCGAGTCACGGATCGAGGGCCGTTGACCCGCACGCGCTTGTCTATCGTGGTTTTTAATCCAGCCGCACCTTCTACTTACTACCTTAAACTCTTATTTAAACAGGAATCGAACTCGACAGATTGCCTTATATTTTTGGGGGTCCGCACTTCATTAACATCTTTCTGGGACCCTATTTCACGCTCGCCCGACCCTGACGGAGTTGCGCTGCCCTCGATGATGGATGCGAATGTTTCCGATCCGCTGACGTCACCGCTACGTCATCGATACCGAGCCTTATCGTTGCAAGGGCTCTTATTTCTTCTCTGCAGGATGCGGTCTCTGTATCGGGAGAGACGGGTGGTCGCTGCCGATATTCTTCCACCTGTTTCGTCACAGATGTGGGCCTCGAATGACGTCAACCCAAATTCTGCCTGATTAGACCCGCGTCGCACTTTAATCAGTAGTTACTCCCTGGGGATGTAGTTCGGACCTTTACATGCAGAAGGCTTGCGTTATGATGGTTTAAAGCTTTTCTTCTTGATAAATCAAAGAGTATATTTATACTGTTGTCTCCTTTAAGCCCAAATTAAAATACCGGAGCATACAAAATATTCTAAATATTATTAAAACCCAAACACAGTTTAGTCTCTTGGTTTCTTAAGGTGATACAATTCGTACGATTTTAGTAATTCTAAAATTATATGAATGCTCTTCTAGGAGATTATTTGGTTACTTCAAGAGTTATAGAACAGTATACACATCTCTTGGGTATTCTTAGCTCAATAGTTATATTTAAGCAATAGGATTAAAAGATTCTTCGTTGTCTGCCTCTAATTGTATGTTAGTTGTCCTCAAGAAGAGGCATACAGCATTAGATTCTCATTCTTAAGCCACCTAATACAAAACTTCTTTGTAGTAACATGAGATTAACTGATATTGAACAGTCATTGAATATCAATAAAATTTCAATCTATACTCAAACACCAACTAAGCCTTTGGATTCTTTGTTTTTAACAATTGTATCTAAACAAGAATATTAACATTGATGGTTAAGCACCATAAACGCAAGTTTTTTGGGGGTTTTCTATGCTAAATATGTAAAAAGATGTAGAATACTTAATTTTTTAATTCCTCGAATGAAATTTTCAAGAATTAAAAATGTGAGCATCGATAATTCATGTCTACTAAAGTCGCCAGTGCTAGTAACACTTAGTCAATTGCTGGGAGAGAGTTATCTATGCTATTGGACGATTTTTAAGTAGCAGCTGTACAACTACACTAGTTTCTGGTATTTTTAAGAGATTTTCATAGACCTGCAGTTGTAACGGAAATGTTTATTGTGGGGAAGAGGCAACGGTTGCTAGACCGCCCGGGGTAGAAGTCAAGTTGGGAGTCAATCGCGTCACCTGGATGCATTGACACCGCTGCATTCACAAGTATTTTACATGGCAGACAACAATGAAGTGCCACTTTTGTTCCTTTCCCCCGGCGAGCCGGCTTTCACTAGTCATACAATACCCGCTTCTCTACCTCTTCCAGTCATTAGCTGCTGCTCGAGCTCTACCACTTCACCATTCTTGCACCCCCTTACTGATCCTTCGGCTAATCTCCACTGCTTTGGTAACAATAATGCTACTTCTTGAGGGCATTAGTAACTAGTTATATAAATAAAGTCACACTTTATGTGTTTAGATTTACAAACTTACAGCTTGTTGCTACTGTAGTAATAATTAATTTTACGCTTATTTCGACTGAAGAGGTAGTGGAGTGGCGAGTTGTATGGCTTTTTATGCGAGTGTGGAAGCGTGCTTATGATTTAGTGCATGCATAGTAACAAAATATACAACTGATGAAGAAAATGGCTGCTCCGCTCTTATACTTACCCTCAATCGACATTAAACTATTTCGTTGGCAGTGGCTAGTGTGGCATACTGCAAGATTAACAATGCAACTATTCATACCTAAAGTGGTTGTTACTAAGGTAGCATAATTTATATACGTCAGTTAAGATGTTACGCTACCTTAAGGCTCTTTTAACTTCGTGTCAAGTTTACATTTATCTTAGCAAAGCGTTTATACAATGTTTACCAACTCGTAATGCTATTAGAGTTACAAAGCAAACATTTTGGTCGACTTCATTCACTTATTCATCTGTTGACCTTTTACTTCCACGTGCGCTATCTGCCAATCGGGGATCGTAACTTGGTTACGTCACGCAACCACGTGACGGGAGTGTAGTAAATGACGTCGACGGGGCGGGAGAGTGATTGGAGGATGATGCACTAGCGGAGGATGAAGTGCAGCTAGCGAAAACAAGCTAAATGCTATATCAAAAGCTGATAATGGACTTATCCACGGCTTACCGTTATAATGTGACCATGATGGAATATTATACCTGTAAAAGTAAGTGCTACCGTAGTGATAAGATTGTTTGAAGGCGCAGCAAACCTCGATATGTCGCTAGTAAGAAACTATCAAAAGATATTTAGTAAATATTATGTCGAGTCGACCCGTAATGGGCACGTTGCTAATCTCGATCACGTGATTACCCTTCGGCCCTTTTCGAAACGCGATCCGAGAGGGCCACACAAGACTCTCCTTTATCTCGGTTTTCGGAAGAGCTCCAATTTGTGATAACATCTCCGTGTAATGACGCAATTAGAGGGCCGTTCCCGAATTACATTAATTAAAATTCCCCGTCGTCACGTGACATCTAACTTAAGGGCCCGGTAGCTCGGATGAATTGGGATCGGACTGAGAAAAACACTTCTTAACGTACCGTTGGGATTAACAAATGGTCCAAAAATTAATTTGCAGGCGTAATTAACGTGCTCTTTGCTTAGGGATTCGTTCCGTTGAGAACATCAACGGAATCGAGTGGGATTCGGTAGCCGAAAATGGGGCCCTTCTGACTTAGAAACGGTAGAGGCGATGTAACAGATCGTAAATCACTTGATAGGAGTTTCATTCGAGATCGAGTCACGTGACCCTAGGGCCCGCTAGTCGTGCCAAAGATGTAATTACATCCCCGCCCATTGAGTTTGCTCCGATCAATCAAAGAACCCTGATTGATTTAAGAAGTTTAAGATTCCCCTTCGTTTTTCGCTTATTAACGACGAAAGCCAAGTTAAACACCTTAATTATGGGTTCAAGGGCTACTATTCTACATAATAATTCCACGTATCAAAAAATCCTTAGTTTTTGCTCTTTACTTCATTTTCAGGCCACGGAGGTGTAAACCAGTTGGGAGGTGTTTTTGTAAATGGCAGACCCTTACCCGATATGGTGAGACAGAGGATAGTAGAGTTGGCCCATCAAGGGGTCAGGCCCTGTGACATTAGCCGTCAACTGAGAGTTTCTCACGGATGCGTCTCCAAGATCCTCGGAAGGTGAGTATATGTTTTAATGGAGTGGAGCCCCGGTAGCTTGTAAATCAGGTTACAAAAGTGGAGAAGTGAAGCATGTTTACTTCATGTCGAGGGGAAGTTTATGATGGATAATCCCCTGCGGATGAAGAGGGAAAGTCGAGAATGACATTACCCCCGACCCCAGATTTGAATGAGAAAGTGCTGCTGGTTTTGAGTAACAATAGCCAGTCCAGTCTGCTTTGCTTCTCTAACGAGAGTATTATTGGGGTTTAGGATAGAGGAGGCCCTAGCTAGGCCATGATTTCTTATGTTCTAAGCGTAAGAAATTTTTATAGCCGTTTCATGCAAAACGCTCTCTTCTACACAAAGATAGTTATCAACACCAGATGAGTTATGACATTATAACAGGGTTTTGATGTATTAGAAGTTTTCTTACGTTAAAATACTGTCGTATCGGCTAAAAATTACTATAATATTCCATTAATACATGATAAGTACTACTTTCCTGATAGACTTATAATACTTTTCTTGTCCTAAAATATCTGAGATCTGAAATCCATTGTATTATAGTCACTTTAAGGCAGTTTTCATATATCTAGTACACAAAAGCTTTATAACAATACAAAAAGTACTAAAATTTCACAACTAGAATTTTCGTTTTAAAGACTACAATGCTTTTAACACATGTCTGTTTTCATGTTTTTATTATTATATTAAAACTTGAATAAGATAAAATTGAGATACCATTTGCAGATCTAACAATTTAAAAAAGTGTATAAAATCATGTTAGGGAGCTTCTTTCCATAATTTTTAAAGATTTTTTAAAATTAATTTGTCTGTGTATTTACGTATCTTCTCATCTTTTATATTGACTTTCACTCTCATTTATGCCTCATTAAACATTAACATAAATGCACACGAATGTTGAATGTTTACATTCACTTTGTCTTATCGACATTCCAGAAAGTGCATCTCAATATAGTGAAATAAAATTATATGTATATCACCAGATTTATTATTATAATAAATTTTAAAAGCTATAAATATTGGTTAATTAGCCATTCAACTTAACTTTTCTATATATTTTAATACGACGTATTATACATTTTAAAATGGAATTTCGATTTAAAACAGCCACTGCGATTAAACTTCTATACTATGGGAGTATATAGGGAAAAAATTAAATAAATTGGGCATAGGCAACATACAAAATGCATTCAAATAAACACTATATTCGTTATTTTTATTGACTGAAAATAAAATTATCTATCGATATTTATTTTTATGGTCCAACCAATTAAGAGTTTATATCATTTTTACAGTGTTCTAATTACTTCATCAAGGAGGAAGTTGTAACCAAAGTATTTCGTTTGGAAAAATAAAATTTAATTTATTATAATTTATATAATATAATTATACTTTGATNTAATGCTCTTATATTCTGACATTGAGTGTCTTTTTAAGTTTAATAAATATTAATTTTCTTTGCATAGTAAACATTAATATGTTTCAAGACCTTCCGTAGAAAATCGGTGTTAAGTATTGTCTATAATTGAGAAAAATTAGGCATGTTAACTTCCTATAAAATTCACAAATGTTGCTTAATTCTTTAAATTTTACAAAAATTTTCCCAATTATTTACACATATTGAGATCATTTTGAAGCTCTCATATCTGAAAAGTGCTTTATAGATCGAACTTCGGGTGCAAATTGTAGTTTTAAAACTCAAATATGCGATTATTTAAAATTATTAAAACATGCCTGTAGACGTTTTCTTCAATTTCTACGAAAATATCTTTTATTCTCATGCGAATTGCAAACGATATTATATTATAGAATAACATGTTTGTTTCCTTTGGTGAAGACAAACACTAATTAGATAAGCCCTTTGTTTTTTTCCTCTTAAAAAAACAAAAGATATGCTTGTATTGTTATAGGATACAAGTCTTTGGAGTAGATACTAATTACAACAATTAATTTTCGTAGTATCCTTATATTAAAATAGGATGGCAGATGGAAAAAACTACACGAAAATCAAAGACTTCTTTCTGTTTTTTGACAGACTTAACGCTACCGCACTTGGCACTTGAATAGCCACATTGTGCAGCACCGGCTCCTCTCGATTTTGCTGCACATCGAGTCCAATCTCGACTATTTATAACCGAAGAGGCAACTACTGCAACTTTTGCCTATCCAAATTCGTAGAATCGAATCCGTTCCTATAATTAGAAGACGCACAACGCAAGCGATAACCCCTGTATAACTGGAGAACGAATCTCCAGGCTAAATCCCAGTAAAAGTCAAAAGTACAGCTTACGAGTGTCACATATAAATTTTGATTGATAGCTCTCACGGTTAGTTGCAATGTGCCATTCTCGAGTAACTACACGATTCCTACACTTAGCTAGCGTGTATTGTGAAAGAGTGTTTGCTTTTGTTATTAGCCTACTAAATTATAAAAGCAAATATTTGTGTGCATTATCTATTGAGTAGGTTATGCCTTAGTAAATTAACTAGTTGTAATCACTTTTAAATTAGGCCTTAGTAAGGATTGTTTGGCAATTCATTGTATATGTGTTCTTGTTCTGTACTTTACTAAATAGAGAAAAATACTTCATTTTATATAGAAGAGATTCATATTTTATACTTCCACGTGTCTTATATCACTCCATCTTGTTAGCCGTTGTATACATTTTGTACGAATGAATACTCTTCGCAGTATCGTGTGCAATATTATACTTAAACTAAAGAACTCTCTTGTATTATTTTCAGGTACTACGAAACAGGATCGATCAAACCTGGTGTAATTGGTGGAAGCAAACCAAAAGTCGCTACACCTAGAGTGGTAGACGCAATTGCCAATTACAAGAAGCAAAATCCGACAATGTTTGCTTGGGAAATCCGAGACAGGTTGCTATCGGATGGAATCTGTGATCAAGATAACATTCCAAGTGTCAGTTCTATTAACAGGTAAGCACCTAATAAATTTTGCAATCTAATTAACAATTCTGCTAGCGTTATTCGTATGCAAATTAGGACTGAAGTTTACAATAGATAAATCTTCAATTTATACTTCCTCCTATAGAAGATAACTTTAAGGAGGATTAATGTCTTCGCCTTTTTAAAGACCAGATTGAGCATATAATTCTTTGCACATGGAAAGAAGGAAATGTAAAAAAAAAATAAGCTGATACGCATCTGCGATATTTTAAAAACGTTAATTACCTGTCCCGCTTTTTAAGCAAAACATTTTTCTTTACTTCGAATTTAAATTTAAGAAATTTCCTGCTAATTCACTGTTCCGCATTACAAATTTACACTATTTAATCCGCATCATCTTTCTTAGAATGTCTCAAATTGATATTGATGAGTGTACATAAAGTTACTCCACGTCCAACCTCGCATCCATACTTACTTTTGGAAAAAAAAAGCACTAGTTGAGGACCGCGGCAGTTGTTAAATGCAAATTTTAAACTATTTACAGCCGCATTACATGGACAAAATCTGATTTTTACTCCGAGAGAGTTGTTATTATTATTATTTTTCAATTTTTTGATTTTGGAAGAAAATGACAAGAACCGATGGAGTCGTCTCCTTAATAGGTCATCAAGAGGATGCTTCGTATCCTTTATCAAATCTCGATTCAGGAGCGGAGAAAATATCAAAAATTGTATAGAGAAGTAAAAGAGCTTCTATCGCAACCGTATATTTTATCGGATATCTAATCAGTTATACAACATGAAGATAGGGAAGAAAAAAAGAAGGGAATCATCTCTATCGACGTCATGGATGATGGAACACGGATCACATCCTGGCCTAAGCATTGGACTTAAATAAGCTAATGACTGACCTAATCGAAGTGGAACGTTAGATTTGCATAAGGGTCGTAAAAATGTCGTCTCCATTTTCGACAACAGTTCACGTGGGTTTTTTTTATTTTTATTTTTATTTTTTCTTATTTTTCTGGTGGGTTTCCGACATCAAAAAATGGTTTTTGTTAATCGCTAAAAGTCGAACAAACTTCCAACTTTTCGATATCTATCTCGTTTCTACCCTTGGGAACCAATATCGGAAAATGCAGCAGAGGGGAGCTCGGTGTGTAACCCATCATCTCGCTCTTCAACAACACAACTAATTGACTGGATTAGATGGAGCGCTATCGCTGTTGGACGACTTCTGATGGTCCCCTGGAAAGGATCAGATGACAACCGACTACTTATTTAAGTTAGTTTTGTGTAGAAGCTGTCACCACCTCTTGTTCCCCTCATCTCCCATGCTTTCACTCGTTTTGATCTAACTAATAGATTCTATTCGGCTATTTTGTACAAGAAAAAGGTACTTATCTATACTCTTATCTCCATACTTTTTCTATTTATAAAATCGCTTAATATTAATTTTCCGGCTTAACGATGTTGCGAAGGAAAGAAAATGGCGATGTATCGAAATTTAATCGCGTGTAAAGGATAAACCGTTTGAGATATTTTTACCAAAATTTATACCTCGAAACATGTTTACGCACTTAACTTACATATTAAATTTTATCAAAATCGGATGGTTAATAAATGAGTTATAAAATTATGTAAATAATTTCAGAAGTAAGAAGTTTATAAGCGTGTAATTTTAATGGTAAAGTGAAATTTATAATTTGATTCTATATCTCAAAATTCATTATAGTAGGACTAATTGTTTTTAAGTTAAATGCCTATTAGTTCGAGCCGACTTACGGACGGATTCTTCGAATACGCTAGCGACTTCGATTATTAAATCGGTTTATCTAATTACTTTTGATTTATATCTCTCTAGATTAATGATTTAATTGCTTTAATTCGTATGCTTTAATATGATTTTTAAAAATAAATTAGTTTTAAATGTTTATAATTAATTTAATACTCTATTTTGAGTAACTTCAAAAGGAAAAAATATAAATAAAAAAAATATATAAGGTATTTTTGGTAATTAAGATCGAGAGAGATTTTTTGAAGGGTAAGAAAAAATTATTACGGACGGACGGATATTCGAAAAGCATTAGGTTTAATCATATTGAGTCGGGGCAGGTGCCAGTCGTGAGGTCATCATTTGGCCATCTGTCCTCGGGGTGAAAGTTAACGGGGCAGAAGTAATCGCAGTTTGTACGATTTAACTGCTACAAGAGAAAGATGTCACCTCCATCCTCTTCTTTTTCGCTTTACATGTCAGCGGTCGGATCTGCCAAGATCGTTTTTGGCAACTGTCAGGAACCACAAACATTTCCTGTCAGAGGATCCCGAACGGGGGCTTCGACCTAATTAATTTTAACTAATCTTTTTTTTAACTTTTATATCGTTTTTACTTCAAAAATTTTTTTTAAATTGATTAGCGTGGGTTGCGATTCATTTTTCAAACCACACGGACGTGCTTTTCTCCCTTTAGGATCGTCAGGAATAAGGCTGCAGAAAAGGCGAAACAGGCTGCTGCTAATCACGTGTCGGTCAATGGCGGTAGCCCTCAACTTCAACCCACATCCAACACGACTTCTGTCATCACCCATGCACCCTCAGCTGTTCACGATGGTTCACAGTCCATGCAACGACCATCATACTCCATTAATGGCATTTTAGGCATAGCCAGTGTCGATCCCAATGGCAATGTCAAGAGGAAGAGAGAAGAAGGTTCCGCAGGTAAGATTATCTTGTACCTTTTTTTCTGGCTTGTAGACGTAGATGAGATATTAAACTTTCGGTTCTTCTGCACGTGCTCGACACATTAAAATCTGGTTTTGCATGATTACCCTCGCTTGATTGCCATTTTTCATGCAAACATTCTCTCGCGTGTATCGACTGAGCATTTTGATACTTAATCAAATAAAAATACGATTGAGATAGCACGCTTAAATTAACACGTTGATACTGTAATAAAAAACAGTACTATTAGCTGTGTAATTGTTACATCTGTAAAAAGTTTTTAATTTATCTGAATTTATTCGATGATATCTCAGTAAAAAACTATCCTTTCTAGCAATTATAATGTTAGTAACTTACACTTCCTTAATTCATATGATTAATTTACTATTTCTACAATGAAATTTAATGCTATTGTCGTTAAATTAGTAAAACTGATAGTATTGTCAGTAGTGCTGTTATTGTGTACGTTGTACATATTTGTGTGTGTGTTATACTGATTTGTTTGTTGTATAATTTTTGTATATAAGTTTATACATATATATGCAGGTCAAAAGAGTCTATTTCATTGATACACTTGTGCTCAGTAACACATTCTCGATATAGTATGGTTTTGTATTGAACAACACTGCTTTATTAATGAAAAAATGATTAGTTTTGCTGCTTTTACTCTACAAAAATTGTACTAATATTGATATATTAACTCATGTTTTGTATATCCTTCTCTTCTAATATACTTCTAAATTAACAAAAGATTACGCTGATGGTATATGGTATTAAAATATTAATATTGGAAATATCTCTTATACTCTAGAGTTCTTCCTTGTCTCATTGTTCTCTCCAGGGATATAAGTTAAAGAAGACTCAGCTTAGGGCCTCTCATTTGATATGTATTTTTGAGGCCTTTTATATGTTAAAGCTGAAGGCTATATTATTTAACAAGTTTAAGGCCCAACCGTCGTTCTTTGATAGCAAAATTTTAATAACTATAGCCGTATCCTTCCAATCTCATATAATTCTATAAACATTTATCAAGTTATACACTTATATTAGGGCTAGCTTAGTAAAAAAAAAATTACATATATTTTTAATATAGAACACGAATCGAATATAAAACAGAAGCGGTATATAAATGTATATTCTATATAAAATATTCTAGCAGAATGGATTCAGTGACGAGGTTGAAAGATCATTCAGAACCCCGCTTTTGAATTAGCTGATATTTGGTGAAGAATCGATGGTGTGCAGCATGTTATAGACAGCCACGTGGTCCCCACATCCTTCCGGATACAGTCCACTGGTTCCTACTCTTTCACAATGACATGGCTGCTGTGCATGTATACACAGATCCAATTGTGCTTCGTCTTAAACGGAACAAGACCCAACTTTTCATGTTTTATCAATTGTTTCCCACTTATGCGCTCCGTAAACAAAAATTCCAAAATTTTCAAGTCTTTATGCTACTACAATAACGATTTTAATCAACAAAAACTCTGTCGAAAAGTCTAAGAATTTTAGATAAATTCTATATATTTTTTTTCTTCTAAAAATATTATCCCCTATTTAACGTTTTCTCCGGAACTAACAGATATCAGTGTAAAATTGAGGCGATTTATGGGGATCTATGGAGCAATAGAAGTCGGAACAATTAAAAATGTACGTATAATCGGGGTATAAGTTAAATCGGGAAAGGTTAAAATGGAATTTCACTCTATATATATATATTTTAAGCTTCGTTTCTCTCATCCCATTACCTGGGTTAATAACACCGGTTGTTCGCATAGGAGTCATCTTTAGACTATCTGTAGACAGTGTAGGGGTGAAGTAAAGCATGTCGATCTAAATTTAGTGTTATCTTTTAAGATTTTCGATATAAAATGAGATATTAAAAATAACTACCAGATTGTGAAACCTTTATGAATCACGTCAACATCTACATTTCCATCAGGTTTGGTTCGTGTATAACGCAACAACGGTGCAATAATAATAGAATTTTAACTCGTTAAAATAACTAAATTTTACAGTGTGCTTTTATAAATATTTATAATTTTGATATTTGGATTTATTTTAATTCAAAATTCAATAAAAGATTGATATTAATACTTCCAATAATTAAAATTACAAGCGATTTCTCATTATGATTAATTAGATTCCATACTAACACTTGTGACTGTTCCAGTTATAATTGGCTAATTATTTATATTTAATTAATTGCTAATTGATTCGTTTTTAGTTTATAAAATTCGAAGATTTTTTTAATTATTATTTATTAATCTAACCTTTTGTAGTAACCTGATAGTGATTGTAAGCTTATACTTAAACTTTTTACATTTTTTACCCAATTTTCAACACGAGATTCCACATTAAACTTAAGTTTTCTATTATAATCACTTGTACTGTTAGTTTTTAAAATATTTAAAGATTGTTTTAGCCTAAAACCATAAATTTCTTACTAATTCCAGGCCTAAAACGAGTTAAAAGTCGTAGTAGATCGCAATTTATAATTTAAATCACGTTTCTTTTTAATTAAAATTAATTAATTTTTAATTATGTTCATGATTATAAACATGTTTACATTTTTGAAATACAATTAAACTGTTTTACTAATAATTTAAAAAAAATAATTATTATTAATTACGCTTGCATTCCAGTATTCAATTGGTCTCATTTGAAATTCTGTTATTGCTTTCCAGTTACGATTAATCAATTCTTTACAAACAACAGCACTTATCAGTTGAACAAAATGCTTATAAACACTATCAACAGAGCAGTTATCTTAAGTAATTTAAATATTCTTTATCTAACCTCCCCTGCAAGACTGGTTCTTTCATGGCTCAAACAGTTCTTACTCCATTGTGAACCAATGCGTTTTGATTGTCATGCAGAAATTCACAAGTTACAATAGAGACATTGAGCAGAATGGTTTTCTAAGAAGATTCCATAGTAGATTTTTATAAAATGTATATTTTATAATGGTATCGAATAAAGATTAGCGGTGCTCCTGCTCGGATCCACAATAAAATAAAAAAAGGGGGAAAAGAAGCATCTCGAAGAAGGATCGTGTGTCCATCGTTGAAAAATTCAATTGCAACGAGGAGCGGTCAGTCGGGAAGATGATCAGAATTCATCAAGCGTGTATCTAATACTTCTAAAAAAAAGGAAGAAAAAATAAAGTCGAATGGACAATAATGACAAAGATGGCGTGCGTTTACATCGTTAGCCCAAATGATTTCTGTTGTAATGATTCTGACTTTATTTATAGTCAACTTTTGCTTGAACTTTTTTAGAATTTGATTTGAGTGGAGGATTCTATTTTTTCTACTTTATTTTTTTCCTTCACGAAAATATAAAAAAATAAGCTTTATAAAAGGTTAATTGAAGGATTTATTAACACGTTATTATATATATATTTCTAATCTACAGCTTTAAAAAATGTTCGTGCACCACTAAATGTTATTAGTCATCCAGAAAAATAGGAAAAAAAAAATGGTTTCAAACAGAAATTTTTGTGGTAGTTTTCTAAATTAACTGCGCTTTATCGATTTTCGATCTCTATAGGAATTCTTCCAGTTGATAATTTTCAAGAAAAATTCTACAAGTGAAAAAAAAGGTTCAAATTCTTCTTTGTTTCTTCGAATTTGGCTTTGTTTGAAATGTCAAAAAGAGAAGCCATTCAAAAATTTAACTGCTCGTTTTTTTTTTAATTTTGAAAAACTATTCTTTCTTCTGATAATAAACCAACTGAACCACTTCACTTTCATTTGAACGTCTTTTTTTGTGTGTTTATACCCCAAAATGATTAATTTCTTGTAACAAAACGTGCTTTAATAATTCCTCAATAGTACGTTACTAGGAAATTTTACGTTTTTTTTAATTTACTTTTTTATTGAATTTGATTCACTCGAGACGGAAAAAAGGTACAATGAAACAACTTAACTGATTTTTTTCCCTACATTTTATTAACTTTAGAAAATAAACTTTCTTAACAATAGCGCAATAATGATGTATTATCCGATTCCTCTTTAAAGTTCCCTCCTCCTTTATTTTTAAAAAAATATTTCGGCATGTTCTTTGGCACGTTAACGATGTTCCTCGAAAGAAATATACTTTAAATCGGGTAACAAAACATTTTAAACTTTTGTTTGACTTGTGAAAGTGTTAAAAGATCAAACTTGACCATTTCTGTAGTGTTTTTCTTAAGAATTTACCATTTTTATGTCGAAAATACAATACAATACGCTTTGCAAACAGGGCCTCCAATAGCTTGTGTGAAGCCTTGGGATTAAAGCGGGTCCTTTTTGCCCGTTTCAATTTATTTTTGAACAAATGAAATACGCGAAATGCTTTTTAATCAATAAAAAAAATCTTAAATATTTTTTGTTAGTAAAACTTAGGGTACAGTAGAGGACCCTAAATTTTCTTCGGGCCCGGGGGAGAAAAATCCCTAATTTCCCCCTCTCGATGGCCCCGTTTCAATATGTCTGTAATATATATAAATACGTCTAAATGTTTTTTTGTAATCTTTTAAGTTAGTAGACGAGGAGAGCCTGATGCAAATAAATCAAAAGCAAATTTCACGAAAGAAACGAGCTTCAGCTGTCGTAAATTAACTTCAGAACGTTTAGTGAAACCGAACCCATCTCATCTAGGAGGAGGGGGAATATTTCTAGATATTATTTTTCTCGGTAACTGGTATGGAGTAAAGGAGCCTTTTCATTCAACAGCATTAAGATGTCTCAAAAATAAATTTTCCTAATCACTCACCCAAACTGGACATATTCGAGATTCCAAGAACTTCTAATTGACGCCTTTCGATCATAAACTAAACGATTGTGTCCGTTTGCGTACTTAACTCCATCATACATTGTATTTCGGGTGTAGGACGTGTAGAAAAAGTAGAGTCGAGCCCCGTTTCTCCTGTCAAGCGTTGTTGATTGATATGGAGGAAGTTTTATCAACGAAGACCACTGTTTCTCTTTTCCCTTCTCTATTCAGCTTTCCATAAAGGGTATCGGGAGCACCTGGAGTTGAGCTATAATAATACTGTAGTAGCATATGATTAATATCCACCCCCGGGGGCTCGAATGCCCTACCTTGTTTTCTCGACTCCTGTCGATAGCAAACCGTAAATGGGGTGTTCTAGTTACTCTAACTCGGATACCCTTCTAGTTTCGTAACTTTTACTTTATCTTCTCCTCCCCCCTTCGGTCGATTCTAACTCGCGTAATGGCTTAAAAATATGCAATTTAATATAATAAACTTCTAAGATTTAGTTTCCTAATCGAGCTTGGTATTTATTTTTCTTTTTCTTTTTATAAATAGACAGCAGAGATCTGAACGGTGAGCACCTGGATGACGAAAGCAAACGTCAGAGGAATCAGTACAATGGGGAACAGCAACTGTATACGAACGTAAGTATGCATTCGTTTTTCGTGCATGCCACGCGTAGAATGGAGTCTGGCGCGTGCCAAATCGCCTTCCCCGTTTATAAAGCAGGCGATCAGTCAGAGTTGGAATCCATCTCGTGTCAGGTAGGAAGTAGAAAACCTCCTGATCATCCGAGCGGATCGCCACATCCAAAAACAGACTACGTTTTCGGGTAATCGTCGAGACGTGGTTGCCACCTAGGTGGTCTTACTAGCTGCCATTTTTTTTTTCTACTTCTTTTTGAATATCGGTCGTTCACCGCGTATTTTCGCAACAGGGAAATCCGTATTTCCTCTATTAATTAAGGTGTCATTAATCTAATTATGAGAATTCGTGATGGTTTTGCCCTTCTTCTCCCGACAAATTACACTATTCGATGCTGGAACTCATTTTAGATATCGGATAGTCCATGTTAAAAAACACAACTAGCTCCGTAAGAACTGTGAAAAGGCATGAAATTAGTGGTAATTTGCGGGACTTTTTTTTTATGCTGAAAACTTGGAACTAGGTAAATTTTAGTATAAAGACATTCACGAATCCTTTCCACCAAAATTCTCTCTTAAATTCAGCATTTCTTGGCAATTTTTTTACGAAAAATTTTAAGCTTATATTGAATTCATTATTCCAACAAAATATAATTTTTATGAATTAAATCAATTAAAATAATTCCTTATTAAAGTTCGCTAGTGAAAGTTTTACAACTCACCGGAAGGAGTAAAGCATCCTTGAAGACACCAGAGTAGAGAGTTATTTGAAAGAACAATGGATCGTATATGACTGCTTGTGTTTTAAGTATTCTATAATTGTTACTCGAATTTATTGTCCTATTGTTCGTAAAGTGAATATAAATTAAGTAGTCAATAACTCATCTCTTAATATGAATAATTGCACATATAGTAAACATATTTAACTTTCTCTTGGTGGTCAGCTATTATATATTGTTTCTTAGAAAAAATTATAGAGTTTTTTAATTCAGGAGCCGTTTGCATCATCTTTCCGATGCCATCTTAGAAATGATGCGACCCAAATAAAAAAACGTAAATAATTAAAAATAATGAGCATTAATTTTGAAATTAAATAATTTTTCGAATATTTAAATTATTAAAAGGTTGTTTCTGTGCTTAAAAAGCTAGTGGAATTGCAAAAAATAAGTTATGTAAACAACGAAATTAAGATGGCCGCAATTTATGATACGTTCATATTGGATTAAAAATAACTTTTAATGAATCAGTTTATTTGTGATAGTTTCTTTGAATTTTTTATATAAAACAATTCTCGAATATCTTTATAATGAACTGATCAAATTACCTAAGAAATTTGATTCCTCGACTGCGAAAATTGGTATATCTTACGGTTTTCATAGTGTACAGTAGCAGAATATTTGTATAAAGTTACCTTCTAGATAGTGAAGATAAATAAATAATAAAACATTCTTTACAGATGTGGGCGAAGTGGCCGAAACAAGACGACACGTTAAAAACGACAGGCATGGTACCAGATTTGACCGTTCCAAACGGTTCCCCTTATACTCTGCAATACGGGGAGCAATTCAATCCGGTGGCCACATCCGTCAACGACCACCTGAAACAGGAAATGGTACCTTACGACACGACCCTGACATCAATGGCGTCGCACGTCCAATCTACAGCAGTCTATTCGCCTCCTCTAGGTAAGTTGCCTTCGGTGGTCCGTGCAGAGTATATCTTTTACTTTGCCCAAAAAAAAAATTCACCCCCTTATTTTTGCCATATTTAGAGATTTAAAATAGAAATAGCACGGGTCTTAAGATCTTAAGAGGACTCTTTTGTCCGTAATAATAGCCGAGATGCCGCTTACGTACAAGTTGGTAGCCAAATGAGGAGGCGTTGATGACAGGTGGAATGTCGCCAGGTAATTTGACATTTCCGCCGACGGTAGTGCTTGTCTTAGACCCGCAGCCATGGACACAATCGGGGGCGGAGATGGTTCTAACCATTTGGACAGTAGCTGTCCCGACTTGTTGGCGCCTGCACATGTTTTCAGACGTCGGGATAGAGAAAAGAAGACTAAATGAAAGACGCGACCTCATCGTCCAGTTTCGACATTTTTTTTCTTTTTAATGTCCACCTGTGAGGTCACGAGGTAGTTTTGTTTGTGTGCGGGTGCGCGTTACGGAGAAGCGCTCCTAGAAAAGCGGGTTTTCTTGGGGAAGGGCGATGTTAGATCCTTTTTTTTTACGCGATTAAAGAAACTAACCCTCGTGGCCTACATTACCAAAAAACAACTTTACCTCTTTCTGCTCTGAATCTCGCGAGCGGACCTTGCTTCTTACGACCTAGATGTGCCTCAAGGCGGCAAAAAATTAAGAAGTGATGAATAACATGAAAAATCTTTCGTGTTATCTGAAAAATTGACGGCACTGGGGGGGTCGCTGACATTTTGGGCGCTATGTGACATCATCTCGAAAAGATTTTTTTGTAAAATTTTACATATTGCAATCCGAAATATATTAAAACAAGACATTGTAAAACCGTAATTTAACTTTAAAAAAAACTCTCAAACGTATCGCCTTGTTTACGTAAGTAAATCGAATGGCTAATTTGTCAAAAGTAAGGGTCGGGACGGGATTTTTTTTTTCTTCTTGCTAGCGTAAACCGTGCCTACATCATTTACTAAATTTAACATCATTTGTTTCTATAGTAGTCGGGTTGTCAGAAGGAAAACTATAATTCGAAACAATTTATACTATCCAACAAAGAACACATAAATCACTTATTCGAATTTAATATTATAGTAGAAATAATTCATTACTATGATCAAGAGGGCAGACAAAGATGTCAACTAATTCCCAGACGATTTCTCTTCTGCAGGAAGTGGCTCTTTGACTCCAATGACTCCCATTAGTCTTCAAGACGGTTTAATAGGAAACACTGGAAGTTTGACAGACACCATTTCGGGTTATCAAACAGGTAACACTTCATTTACTACTATATTAATAATAGCTTGGAGAAAGGGGGCTGTAGTACTTTATGTGCCTGAAATTCCGCATCTAATATTTATTTGCTGCATTTGCGAAGAGGTGGTTGCAACTAACAATCTGGTGTTTCCCTTTTTTAAGTGGTGATGGGAGTGGAAATTGGTTTTTATTTTATATATTCTTGTATACTGCAGTCTGGTAGAATAAATATCTGTGCTTCGCTCCATTCGAATTGTGAGTGTTGATGGTACAGCTGAAGGCTTGCAATTCACCTTCAGAGAAACGCTACGTATACTTAAAACATGTGAAATCTGACGTTGATTGCACATGCTGTAAGGGAACGTAGCTCTTATTTTAGAAAGAACGCGAGTGCAACGCAGTTTTTATGAAATAAGAGGAAAGAAGCAGGATTTTGTCTACCAGACTGTTAAAAATCCATTTGAAACATCAAATATCCGGCATATTTCCTCTCAGTAGGCAGTAATGAAGTGTGTAACACGCCGTCCCCGACCAAGACAGATCTTGTCACTACCTCCTCCTGTCTTACAGTATTGCAGCCCGTCCAAAGTACAAATGCGAATACGTACGGCACATACGGTACCTATGGACAATATCCAGGCAAGTTTGTACTTTGTCATGACGTTCGTATGTGTATGAATGTGTGTATGTGTGTATGCATGCGTTATATCCATCCAGCATATCGAAATCTTGTTGGCCTCGATATGTTTCAGTATTCTGAATATTCAATTATACTTATTGTGTTCGATATATATATATATATATATATTTTTTTTTTCATTCGAAAGTTGATATGTATAAAGGTCTTATTTTAACCGATTAAAACAAGTAGAATTCCCCTTAAAACAATCCGTAATCTTTTCTATTAATAAACTAAAATGGCAAATTCGTCATAAAAGAACTATTTTTGATCCGAACATAAATCATCAAATTAATCACATATTTCCTTAGAATATAAGTCATATTGTCTCTGATGCGTGCAGGCGTTAGAAGGCTTGCATGCCTTCAGGCTGTTGATCCATTAGCAATTACGAGGGCAAACTTAGCGATGCATGGCCAGCAAATCAATCACGGAGCGCAAACAGTATCGTGCAGGATGCAACAACCCTCTATCACTTTTTTATTACCAAAATTTGTTTAAGTAATAAATAAAGATTAAAAAAATTCATTATACATTTAAATTACGAAATCCTAATGGCAATGTAATAAAAAACTCGCTGCAAACAGCACAAAAATCAATTAATAAAATGAAAAATAAGTTGTTGATATTGCTTATAACTCGATAGTAAAATGTGAAAACATCAGATTCATGCTTAAAATTATCAGTTAATATAGGAATGTATACTATAGCTTAACGTTGTATAGAGACATACGCGAGTTTTCAAAGCAGGAATTGAATATTTTCACGAATAAAATTACAGAAAACAACAGAAACTAATAATTGTTATACAGTTCCAGGTTCTGCGGTGGCCGGCTCGACCGTAGGTGTACCAGCCACAGATTATTCCTACACTTCCCCTTATACTCAGTACTCATCAGCTGCATACAGTGCTTACGGCTACAGTTCGGGAGGGATAATAAGTAAGTATGGTATTTACCACCCTCGTAATTATCACGAACCGAACTAACAACTTCCCTTCCACAGATCCTTCTTACTATTATGGAGGAAGGACCGCAACGACGCCGACCACAGGTCTGACAACAGCACCTTCGCTTAGTCCCAACAGCTTTAAATTAGAGAGGTGCTAACAGAACCTCCGTTACTTTAGTCAGCTAAACAAAAGAGACTCGAACCCGGGCCCTACGGGATTAAGGAGCTTCGATACCAAAGAAAATGATGGCTGCGTCTCAGCATTTACCTCATCATCAGTCATCTCGTGTAGTCACGACTATTTATGGAGAAGAAGCGAAGTTACTTAAAAAAGGACCTCAAATTTGGCGTTTTACTTAAAAAGCAAAAAACTTGGTTTTATTTATTATTGTTGTCGCTATTTTTTTTTATTACTTCTTTGGGTACGCATCCCCTAGAACTCAGTGCACCAAGAAAAAACTCCACAATTTTGGGTAAAACTCCGGTGGCACACCGACACCCACTAGATACCTGTTTTTTTTATTTGTACGCGTTCTGTCAGATTACTCTGTCAATAAATTCGTTTTATGTGATTTTTTCAGTTTGTTTTTAAGTTTATTCAGTATACGGATTTTCCACATAATTACATAATAAGATAATATATTTGTAACATAATTTTACTGCATAATACTGTAGACCGGTTAGTACAAAATTAAGTAAATCGGTGTTGTAATGAACAATATTTACTTTACGGTTCAAATCTTGCCAGAGGCACAGTATATTTGTCAATTTTAAAACCAAAATGGAGACTTTCAATTACATAAGTATTAATATTTAAATTTAATTACAAGTGCTAAAAGGTGGCCTTACCTAATATCTATATACACATTACAAAGTTCGTAAAATATTACAATTGTGCTAATCTCAAAACCTCTTCGCAGATTTTTTTATAATGCCAAGAATCTCCTTTCAATCGCTTCCTTCGAATCCCCAACAGTTTCTGTTTCTGCAGAAGACATACTTCAAGTTCAAAAGTTAACATTGTTCTTCCAAAGGAATCACGTACTTTACCTCGCAGGACGTATCTAAAACAAGTCAGAAAGAATCAAAAGTAAAAATCTCATTTTTCTTCCTCCAATATAATAATTTTTAAAGATGGTAATATAATGTAATTAATATGGGTGAACGCACTACAACACGTAAAACCGGTGGGGGTGGATCATTATATAGATGCTGAACTTCCTCTTCCACACCCAATTGTCAAGCATCTCTGATCGGACAAACTATGCTATTATGATACAATTCTGGGACAAAATTGTTAGAAAAACCTCTTCTCCAACCTCAATAATTCGTTTTTATTGTTTGCTTCGAAGAGGAAGTTATTTACAATTGATCCTTTACCATAATTTCTTTAAAATTAGCGCGAATTACACGGCACAAGTATAACACGACATTTTTCCGGATTTTGGTGTGGTTTTTGGTTTTCATCTAACTTCAGTTTTTCGTATGGAAGTCGAACATATTAATTTACCTCAGCGAGACTGTATTGCAGTGTTGTATTAGAAGCAGCATTTTAATTGTATCGAATTGTGACACAAGATAGCTGATAGTGGATAACCTTATTAGATGGAGTTAATAAGTTCTATAAATCACAGCGCAGGTGATGGAGTGCAGGTAGTGTGTGCAGTGACACACAGCACTTCCCCGGGGATTTCCTGCGAGTCACACTACATTTGTTCCTGTCGCGTCAATGTCACACTATCCTGCCGATTGTACAAGAGCCGCTCTTCTCTGTACCAAAATAGATTAATTCGGTAAGCTCCCCCTTTAAGAGGAGAGCATGCTGCTTGCAGAAGTAGAGATCTAAATCATCCCAGTGACCATTACACCTCAGCGTGAATCACGTGAATTTAAACATACCAAAATCCAGGAGGGATTCCATCAACCCAAACCGCAAGAACGCATGCCTGTGTTATGAAGCGTCATGCCGTTAAATAAAAGAACAGACTTTTGAGAAATACTAGTTTGAATTTAAACCACGTTTAACACAATAAATAAATATAATATCTTATACAATATCGTATACGAACACACACCTACGCACACTAAACACACAAATCACCAACATATATACGCAACAAACACACAAAACAATTAAACACGTACAGTAGACAATAATAATATACATAAACCATTTAACAACAATATATTACGACACAGACAATGTATTCTAATGCATTGTATGTTGTATTCCTTAAACAATTATTTTTACCTACAAACAATATGAGACTTCAATTGAACTGTAGAAGCGATAGTTAAGCATAGCTTTAAAACCTTGCCAGAATTAAGATATAGTCGACAATGTCTAAAAATGGGTTTAAACGAACACGGAAACTTTTCCACGATCTTATTGTCTGACAATTCAAAATGGACCACTGTGAAAAGGGGAAACGACACTTTTTTTCGATTGTTCACAACGCCATCTAGCAGTGAAAAAACAAAGCGGACTGCACTATATAATTTACAAGCAACAGTGTCTGGGTTTACCGCCGAAACCATTGTTTGTATCTAGCTACGTATTGTATTTAAATAAGTGATGTAAAGCGTGGACGTAAACCGCTAATTATTGTTCTATTGTGTTGCCGCTTGTCAACAACCCTCCGTTATTTAATGAAAGATTAGCCCCTGGCAACTTCTCTTATGAGAACCCTTTAAATTAATAACAGATGAAATTACAATCGGCTCGTCTCCACCTTAATTCATAAAAAGCCTTTCGACTTTAAATGTGACGTTAGTTATCATAAAAAAATCTTTGTTTCTATTTAATAATAAAGAATAAAGCTTTATTTTTTTCTCTCTCCATATCAGTCCGGTAACCCGTTAAATGTCGAAACTGTTAATAAATCTCGTTTAAAAAATATTGCTATTGTAACTTAGACGTCACACAATGGGGTATAAAGTGACGTAGCTCATATATTATACGATCGTAAAATAAAATCTGTGAAATAATTTTTGCTATGGAACCGACAAAAAATGGAATGATGCCGAGAAAATTAAAAACAGAATAATCATTCCGTGACGTAGCAAGGCCGAGAAAACTCAATTTTATAACGACAGCACGTAACAAATAAAAATCGTCGCACGGGATCGATACTTAAACACTTCAAATACATGAGAATAAACTGAATTTAATGACGACGCTACACACGATAAAAGGTCTAATTACGATATTACACGAGATTAACACACTATTTCCGGTTCTGTCGACCAATTAAACTGTGTCGTGTTATTTTAAATTTTAGAGAAACAACACCCAACATGACGTCAGACGGTATGGCGAAAGTATCAATCACATGAGATTTAACGTCATTAATTACTCAAGGATACAAAATATAATAAAAACTTTCGAATTTTTTTGCTAAAAGCAAAATTACGGCAGGATTTTTTTTTATTCGAAAAATACAGCGCGTAACGTTACGCGGAGGGAAATGACGTAAAAAGAAAAACCACCGACCAATCGACATAAATTGCAACTGCGTCCGTTATCCCAAACCCACCCATATAATGGAAATTGTCCAATCAGAGAAGCATTACTACAAGAAACCGATGTATTGGTCGATTAAGTATACAAGTTCCGGGATAAAGTAACAGAAAAATATACTAAATCAGATACTTTAAAATATTGCTTAATCTAAATAAATAAATATATTTACCCTTCTTGTTTGCAGAGTATTCCCTTTCTAAATAAAGCATTCTTTAATGAAAGAAGTATGTTTTCGGCATTAATACCTTCTGGTACTGTGGAAACGTTGTGAAAAGTCTAGAAATAATTAAAAAAAAATGGAGCAGATCAATTTACTTGACGATATAGAAATAAATAGCTACTTCTCCTATAACGTCACAGAATTAACAGAGAAAACGACATTATCGGCCTTTTTTTTAAAAAATACGTTTCTGCAAATGGACGTGGAGAGGCGCCGTAGTCGGTGCTTAAAGAAAAATTTTGGAGAATGCTCAATCTGCTCTAATGACCATTTCCTGTCGGGATTGGCACTTTTTCCCCCCTCTACTTTGCGTCTCCACCTCCGCTCGCATTCCGATACAGGTGTGAAGGCGTCAAGATGTCCCGTATGTGGTGTACCGCTCCAGGTATTGCACTACTAGTTTTTTGTCTAGTGGAAAGATAAAGCAACTTTAATTGCGGATCATTGCCGCAATTAAGCATTAAAAAAATTCAGAAATTAATTTTAATTTCTGAACATGCCAAGTTGTTTTTTATAGTTTAAAAAAAATCAATTTTAGTATTTATTGATAGAATACATTAAAAGAGTCAAGGGGGGTTAAAATTAAATTTCTCGTGTCTCTAGTTAGATTACAGAAATGAAATTCGATATGCCAAATAAATAAAAATATTTTAAAGCAATTTATTAATGAAAAAAACTGCTTTGTACTTTTACACATTTTCGAATTTTTAAATATGGCGCGCGCGTATAATACCGTGTTTAAAGGGTTAATATTTCTTTATATGTATAAAATATCAAACGAAAAATAGATTTAACTGTTATCTGATGCAACAGCGCAGACAAAGGATAGAAAAAAAAGTGGAACGACGTTAAGAAAAAATAGTTACTGTTCAACAGGTGTGCATCAGTTATCTTAGTAGCAGTTACAAGCGTAGTAAAAGGTTGGGCGGTAGGTCCTCGGGGCCAACGAATTATGGGTAATTTACCTTCTAATAGCCATCCCCCTCAAAAAAGCCGCCACCTGATCTTAGCCATCTATCTGCACTGCTACGTTGTTAATCCGACTACAATTACACAGTAGAGCAAAACTAGAAAGTGACCGTGTTGACGAATATTGGAGACAGTGGGACTCTGTGACATTCTAGAATATTCTTGTCTCTTTGAAAACTTAAATTACAGAGAGGGGACATAAATTATAGGCCTATCTATCTTTATAAAGTTAGACCTGTAATTCATATACGAATCAACTCGATTCTGATTTTCGCGAAAGTGTCTAGTTTCTGTTCAGTTCATTCAAAAAGACAGGAAAAGTAAAGGAGTGTAATAAATTGTAGAGTTATCGAAAAATTTTTTGGCAATGGACACAAACCTTTACTTTTCGAGGTCTGCCTCCGTTTGAAGAGCCCAAACGTTTTCTTGGTGTTAGCATAGTTTTCATTTTGTCTAACCCTTTTTCAATGCTGCCAAACACCTTCCTGGCTGACGACTCTTTTGGTGTCGATGGCATACTTACCACCGGAGTTTTTAACACCGTTTCCAAAGATGACCAATTTCTGAATGGAGAAAAAAAATTGTTAATTGCAATTTATAATTTCTAACTGATAATGTAATCCTATTTTTTCTTAATTTACTTTTCAAGTAACAAAAAGCACTGAAAATAGTTAGTGCTTTTTATTTATTTATAATTTTTTAAATTTAATTTTAAAAAGGAAACTGAAAAATATTTAATTGCTGCTTTATTCACAGAATTTTTTTCTTCATGTATTATACAGTATTTATATTTTGTATAATTTAAGTAATACATTCTTATAAAAAATTATTATTATTATAAATTATATAATGCTTGATAGAGGATATATGTTGTAATGAAAAATTTATATCATTTGAAAAGACTTTTTTGTGTAACTTAGTATCATATGAACTACATTATTATATGGAAAATTTGTATGTTTATGTTATAATTCTCAAGTAATATAACATAAAAAAATTATTGCTTGATATTCATTATAACTTGTGTTCATATAACTTTTGGTATGAACAGTTTTAAATATAGTGTTAACTGAAAGCTTTAGTCTATTTAACTACTAACTAAAGTCTTTTATAGAAAATATTTTTTTTACAGACAATGTATTCTATACCATTAATTATAATTCAGTGTTGATGTATAAAGTTTTAGCATACAATTTAATTAATACCTATTTTTTGTAATTTCGCAATTCTTTATGTATTAAAAATTTAATTGCGTATTAAAAAATTTATTTAATGCAATTAAATCTTTAAATGAACATGTGAAAATTAAATATAATTTTATAAGGAAGGACGGAAGAAAGAAAAAAAAACCATATCACTCATAATCTATAATTTAAAGATCCTTTTTATAAAAAGTAAAAATTACGAGATGGCAATTAATTGCTAATAATTACTGAACTGGATTTAATTACAGGTTAAAGTGCTCTTTCATATTTATGAATTATATATAATAATAAGTTTAACTGCTTTTTCATATTCATACATTCAATTTAGAAAGATGTTTTCACTGGGAAAAATTAACCATTATTGCTTACACCATAATCTCCATCATGACATCAAGCACTACCCATAGATAATATATATATATTTTTTTTTACATTACCTTGAAAACAAGTTTAAGTAGAAAGTGTAAAAAATATTTGAATAATTTAGAATAAATTTATTTAAATTTTATAATTGGAATAATAATAATTATTGTTATTAATTAGCTGAAATTATCACATTGTGATAGCTTATGATGGGAACTGTTTAGAACTGTAGATAAGATGTATGTTTAAACTGTTGGAGAGGGAGGGAGAGAGTGAGAAACTTTTTGTAAAGTTTATACATAAAATATGCCGTATTTAGCAAGAAATTTGAAGTGATGAAAAATCAAGGACATAGTCTATGTTTAAAAGCAATTTACAAAAATAACGTGACGGGGTGCAAAATAATTAAAAAATTGCACAGAAAACGATGCACATCACGCAGAGCACTGCAGGCTAAACAGCTGATTTTATCCGGTTATTAGCACTTAAAAAAACGAGAAAGAAAATGTCCTTTGATCTCTTATCACATAAGAAAACTGGTGTCCTTCCGCAAATAGAGAATAATAAAAGTAAAGTTTCTACTTAAAATTCAAAAACGGGATTAAAAATTGACAGCTCGCGCAGTTTTTAAGTTGGTAACATACGGGAAGTATGCAGATGATAGCGGGAGGTATTAGATATTTAAAATCGATTTGAGCAGGTGTAGAGCCGCAGAATCGCACGTGTTTGCAGCCCACAATCAAACATAACCTGCTAAATCACAGAGCGGATCATTGCACAGCTGTGTCGACACCGGTAGGCAATTAACAGGTGTGTTAACATTCGCCGGTCTCGGGGTCAATGTCGTCGTGCGCCATTAGAGGTCACTGCACTCCCTGACAAGTAAAAGGGATGTTTTGACTAACTGTACAGGTGTTAAGGAGACAAATCTAGGGTCGACGGGAGCCACTGCCCCACATCTTTGCAGGTGTTTAAACAGAAAGATGCTGTGTTAATATGCAAGACACGTGGCGGCTTCTGGTGCTACTTCAGTAATAAAAATAAAAAAAATTGCTAACAGTTTGACTGCTATAAAATTTCTCTATTTGTTTTTTAGTCAAATTGCCAAACTGTTAAAATTCTAATCACTTCTAAACGTTTAAACTGACGGTTAGTACGTACGTCTGTGATAGGCTGATTTTTTCTTATTGTTTTTAATATTGATGAGATGAAGTTGCAATAAACAACATCTGTTTAAACCAGGCTATGTTGAATCCAATTATGTATTTAGTTTAGCGTCTACTTAACTTAAAAAATGTATAATATTGATAACTCACGATTTGTCTCCTGTCGCATTTAAAGGTGTCAGACAAGTTTGAATACAGCTTAAGGAGTCATCCACAGTTTGAGACGGCGGCAGTCCAGCTAAGAAAAATAAAATAAACAACAAGTTTATATATAACATTTCAATAATTAGCGGCTAAGTTCTAGTTTATTTCCAACATCATTAAATTAACATTACTAATTTATCCAAATTCGATTCTAATCACAGAACGTTCTTATTTATAACAACATATCTAAAATTACATATTGCAATATTGAATTTATTTCATAGAGAAAAATTTTAAGATATTTTATAATTTAAATTCTTATAAATGTAATTTTAATATTATAGTATCTGCTTAGGATGTTATTCTCAGAAAAACTTTACGGATGATCTTATTTTTCTAAAGTATTTTAGAATGACAAGTGCATTACTACTTTAATGGCTAAAGCATAAACCTCATGTATTGTACAGTACTGTACATCTCTTTAAAATTAAAGATTATTCAATAAAGTTTAATAAAAACTACAGTAAACAATTTATTAGCTTCCTTTTTCATTATTTGTTTAACCATTAGTTTTTACATAAAACAGAACTATCAACTCCATCGAGGTACTAAAATGGTACTGCAATTTTCCCTTCATATATTGTAAATTAATTTTTTTAATATCTTAACAATAAAACCCACGACTATACCTATTATTTTAAATCATTTACTTTAGAATGTAATTTAAACCGTAAAAAAATTAAATTCTAAAGAATTTAGTATTAAATTTAACTAGAAGATTTAGATTTAATCAATTTATCTTCATGAGTATTATTTAAAAAAAAAAAAAAGCCAGGACGATATTTTAAAATTCATATTACAATTGAAAAATAAAAAGTGTCTTCAATTTTTTGTCTTGTTTTACGCCTCAAGAACAGTGGTCAACCTTTTAGTGGAGGCTCATCTGCCTCAAAGTGTAAAACATTAATTAAAGTATTAAAAAAGTAAGTGAAACTTATTCTGCGAATTTTAAATATATTTATCGGTCATTTTGTTAATATATTTTTATAATTGCGCCTTAGTCGAAGGAAATTTTTTAACATTTTACATTTTGAGGCGGATGAGAGCTTCCAATAAAAGGACGACTCCATTGTCAGATTTATGTTGCTGAGAGACCAAACAAAAATATAAAAAAAAAAATACTTGACGAAATGTGAAGATTATTTTACTTTATTTTAGTAATCTTCAACTATTCTGTGAATTTTTAAATTTATTAAAAATAATTTAAATTCACTTTTAAGGTAAGATTCAAAATGAAAATTTTGAAGTATTGTTTATATAGTTAAAAATATTAAAGTTCTTAGATGAACGTTTGCTAACTAAAGTTAATATTTCAAACGATTATCTAAAACTTCTATAATATTTTATCTATCAATATATAAACAACGCTTTAAAATCTTAATTCTTCCCTACTTTTAATTGTAAATTTCTATTTTGAAATGAGTGTTCAGCTCGCATTTCAAGCCGTAACTTATAATTATTTCAACACGATATTACATTCCTTAACCGTCAGTGCGAGATAAAAAAACACAACTTGATTAATGAAAGTGCCCTTCGATTTCTTGCATCATTAACACTGCTGGAAAAAAACAAACTGTCTCGTTTTTATCAGGGGTATAAAATTGACAATGACACCTTGCTTCTAAATATTGATTTATATTTTAAATAAATATTTATGCATGCTAATAAAATCTGGCCATAAATTATGTAAGTTATCATTAACACAGATACAACACTTGGTCGACTACTGCCATCTAGCGGAATTGACGCAAACCAGTTTTCCTAATGGACCAACTTCAAGCATCATTAATGAGATTCGTTATACACTGAATCCAATTAATAATGATGTAGCTAAAGTTTCCACGCTTATCAGAAGCTTCAATTGTATCCTTGAAGCGTCTCATAAACGAACAAATTAAAACACAATATCCCGTAGAAATGTATTAAAATTCCGAGTGCCAACGCAGTCACAGATAAAAACAATGGCATAAATAAATTTTCGAAGTTTCGTTTAAATTTGTGCCATACACTAAGTCAGGGATGGCGAACCTTTTTGAGTCTGCGTGCCACATAGTAAGCATATTAAGCATACTTTTCTTTAAAAATGATTATGCATGCAGAAGTTTTAGACTTCTATTAACTATATTTAAATTTGGCGGAATGGCCAAGCGGTCAAAGTGGTAGCTTATCGCTCTTGTGGACCCGAGGTCGAAACCCCAGAAAATTTTCAGGTGGTGATCTATTCTTCCCACCCGGCTGTCCTATTGTGGACTTGCTAAATAAAAAAGCCCTCTTAGTACCCACAGGGCGAAAAGAGTTTTAAAAACTATATTTAAATAAATAAAATAATATCTTGTAATTAGAGTAAATGTAAAGAACCTGATTGAAAAAGATAATAAACCGATATCGTATAATACGTTACGTGGCTGACGATTTCTTTGACGTGCCACTTTGGGCAGGCGTACCATAGGTTCGCCACCTCTGCCCTAAGTCTAAACAACCATTTACAATTAACAAAAATAAGTTTTATTTATGTTCCCACTATAATAAACATTTTAGATCAATGTTTCTTAATATAGAGCTAAATTTCATACTATTACCCGAGAAAAATAAATTGGATGTCACTAGGAATGGTTTTACCTAACCATTCACACGAATCAACATCGGAATTCTACATAAAACAAATTTTTAACAAACATTATCGCACGAAAAAATTACTTTCTTAAAAATTCAACTAAACTACAAACAATTCGGGGAAACCGGTTTCGAATCCGAACGGTCGAAAATCCCCAAGAATTTTTTGAGGGATGAGCCTGTCCCTGATATATCATGCCCCATCCCTCACCACCAGGCCGCTTCCATTGTTGTTCAGGCCAAATCCATGTTGGATATAATTAAAAGAACCTCAGAGTGTCAGTAGGATGGAAAGATTCAAGTTTATTCTACATGAATGCATCATCTCATTTTCATTTTTATGCTTATCATAGGCTTATTTATTATTACTGCTTGCATTACATGATTTTTATTTAAAAATCTCTCATAAACCATGTACCTTAACTTATATTTCTAAGTATACAGTGATTATTATTTTAAGCTTTAAGCATAGAAGTTTTTATAAAGTATTACAAGTTAGTAGTGATAAATTATATTGGACTTTGAAGTCCAATATATTTATCAAACATGGTTTCAAAAACAACATAGATAAATTATATGTAATTTTTATGATGTCTATTATATTCTATACCATATCTATGAACTGATAATCCTATTATTCTTTTTTTACACCAGAGAATCTTAAGAGGTACTTTAATTTCAGTATTTTGAAAAGAAAAATTAGTAAATTTAATATGGGTAATACAACCAGTTTTGTGGTTAAATTGCCACAAAAAGAATTAGTGAAAATTGATCAGTTTAAATAAATTCAAAAACATGAATTGTGCAGTTAAAAACTTAAATCAGACAAAAATAGAAGAAAAATTAGAAGAGTCCTCAGTATTTAATTTAGTGCAAAATATATATATATATATATTCCATGATTTTAAAATATAAAATATTTTTAATGAAACTGCATATATAAACTTTTTTTATTTATACTTGAGTTTTAAAGATTTAATCATCATTTAAAAGAAAAACTATCATTATTCATATACTCTATGATAAAATTTGATAGGTTGCAAATAATTTTTATAGTTTTCTGTTACTTGTAGTATAGTTTGAATATTAATTAGTTTAATGTCCACTCTTAATTTTAGTTCTTAACAATTCATATATATCTCAAATTTGAATGTTCATACCTTCAACTGTTACTAGTTGCATTTTATTTTTATGTTTTTTTGGTGTTGGAGTCAATGGTAATAGGAAATTTTCTTTATCTGCTTTGTTAATTGCTGAATCTTTCATAGGACTGGCTAATTTTAACAGCTCAACATCATCTAGTCCACTCTCTAGAGAAGTATGACATGGTGGAGAAGAATTAGAGAATTGAATATCTAGATTTCTGTTGCATGTCTGGAACGAAAACATATAAAAAAAGAAATTTAGATGTACAGAAACATAATATAAAAAGGGCATTTGAAGTATAAAAAATTGAAATGTGTGACATAATATTGGATATATACGTACCCTCAATGGAGTTGAGGGACGAGGTAGACGAACAGTTGTACCTTTGCGTTTCTTCAACAGTAACAGAAGATATGTAGAAGTTAAATAATCAAATTTACACTAAAATAAAAATAACATTTAAAGTATATAAATTAATGGAAGTTTAAATGCAAAAACTCAATTTTCATAATAAAATTTTTACTATCATATTTACATTTCATCAAGTCTGAAACTTGTATTTAATGCATAATAATTCTACTTATCAATTATGCAAAAATTTTAATTATTTTGCTATTAAAAAATATACTGTTTTTTATTTATAAAAAATTCAAACAGCTAAATTGAAATAAAATAAAAATTAAAAAACTGTAGTTTTATATATATATATATAAAAAAGACAAAAAGTACAACACTTTTTTGTTTTCTGAAAATAATTATACAAAAAACTGATACAGTTTTTATAATTTATCTATAAGGAAAATGTATAATAAAAATGATTGGTGTAAAAAAAATTTGTCAAACTGTCACTTATATGAAGAAATTTTTGAAAAAAAACTCTACCAAAAAAAGTTTCTATCAAATTCTGACATGCTATCTTATGACAACTGTCAAACATATCACTCTATTGCTATGTCGGCAAAAAATTGTCACAGGAAATGGATATTCTGCAATCTGTGAACTTATTAAATAATGTAATAAGATTGAGACTTATAAATCATTTAAGCTTACTTTTAAGCATTTTATAAATTTAAAGTTTTATTTACTATTTAACTTACTGCAGATAATTCTGACTGTATTGTTTTTCTGGATTTTCTAAAATAAACTGCTAATTCTTCAATGCATTCACTATCTAGTATATCATTCTAAATAAAAAAAAATTATTAGTTTGTTTTTAATTACAACAACTCTTATATAAAATTAAGGAAAATCCATAGTTTTATATTTACCTTATAGATACTTCTCCATTTTACAGGTGTTTCGTATCCCTGCATTAACCATGGATGAGATAAGAGAGCAGTCACTGTAATTCTCTGTTTGGGATGAATTCTAAGCATTTCAGAAATTAATTCTCTACTGCTACTACTCAACCAAGAGGGACAGACATAGTTGCCATTCTGAAAATAAAACTCTGAGCAATTAAAAAATTATATTGTCATATAATAATTAAAGCAGAAAATATTTAAGAGCATAATGATTAATTTAAACTATAAAACATTTATAAAAATATTAAATAATTTATATGTTTTAAATATTAATTTATTCAGAATTAAATTATCTTTAAACAATTGTTTTGAAAATACTGTACCAATAAAATACAATTGTAAGCAGTTTAAGAACTTAGCTAATTTACAAAGCTGTTTCTGTAAGTTTAAAGAATAAAACAAACAATTTGTAAAAACAGAAATATAGATAATTATCAAAAAAATTAAAATAGATTTATACATATTGATTATTTTAAATAGAACAGATAACATTAAACAGATTAATTATATATGTTAGGCTCAAAGACCAAAATCGCTCGAGTGAAAAAAAAATGACAACAACATTTTGTGGCTAATTCAAAACGACCACAAAGCGAAATTCATGTTGTAGCTTTCATGATATTTGACCATGACGCATTCTGGTTAGGTTAGATTAGAAAGGTTACTTTTCAACAACATGTAATCATATGTGAAAATCTGTTGCAGTATCAACATTTTCTAACAACTAATTTACTAAAAATAATTACATTGTCAGGAACTTTTATTAATAAATCAGTCTATTTTTATGAGAATCAAGAATGTTTCAGAGTTATTTAGTTTTACAAGAACTATTATCATGATATTTCAAGTTGCATTTTATGTTCTTTAAGCAACAACTTGCAATTTTTATCAACACAGTATCTTTTATAGTGACACATTATAAACCCTTGCTTACTTCCACATGTTAATGTGGATGCTGAGTAAAGTGTGAAGTTAAGGGTATGTCCTAAATGTTAATAAAGTTACTCTCAGAAATTGTAAATTCATTACTAGCATGAAGTCGATCAAGAAGACCCTTGTTTCTTAACTGAGAGAAACCTGATGGATTAATGCTTATAACAACAGCTAAAACATTTCTGGGAGCTGCACGTCCTCAATCAACATCAGAAACCCTAAATAAAACATTCAAACCAATTTCAATCTGTCCAAGTAACCTAGCCTAACCTAACCAGAACATGTCGTGGTCAAATATCATGAAAACCACGACATGAATTTCGCTTTGTGGTCGTTTTGAATTAGCCACAACACATTGTGGTTGTTTTTTTCCCCTCAATGAGTGACTTTGGTCTTTGAGCCTAACATATATAATATATTCAACAATTTAGCATATTAAAAATACAATTCAGTTATTTTTTATCCTATTTGTTTATATACATTTTACATCATATAAAGATGCACAGGTATAAAGACACTTTCATTTCAGCACAGGATATGTAGAAACTAGTATTTAGAGTATTTAAGTCATACAGTGCTTTTAACAGTTGGTTCCAAAATTTTTTTTATTGTTTTCTTTAAAATTAAAATGAACACTTATTACCAGGAAAAAAGGAGGTTTAAAAAAATCACTTACAATTAAAATATTCAACAATAATGCAAAAGCTGTTTAGCTATAGTAGAAAGTAATAATAAAAATAATGTTTTATTTATTTTTTATTTTATTTGTTTAAGCATACTGGTTTCACCCATAATGCGGGATGTTTGATTACACAATATTTTTATTCAAGGTCTGGGCTAGACAGAGGTTACCTGTAGCCTACTGAAGACAGCCTGGGGAATTTATTAGTCTATGGGAGACTGCAACTTCACATGTAGTATGCATGACAATTTTTTGAACCTTTTATTTGGACAAAAGTTGTATCTTATGAGTTGTAAAATATATTAATCATTGTTTTTCTTACACTAATAGCAAGTATAAAAAAATGTCAATATTAAAAGTTAGTGATAACAAGTTAGAGAATAAATAAACTGTAAGTTATATATTACTACTTATTTATGTTATAGTTGATATAAAACTATAAAAAATGTATTTTTTCTTTACATATTTTGGTGGTAATTCAACTTCACATGTAAAATCCAAATATACATAGTATGTACTGTACATAAAACTGCTATCATTGAATTATTCTTAAATATGCATTTCTAAAAATATTACAAATTGAAGAATAAATAAAAATAAAAATTTGATGTCTTTACATATCCTTCACAACTATAGGAACACAATTAACATAAGCAGAGTGGATCTTTTCTTTGAGCCTTTTTTTTTAATCAATTTACATATTCATAAGCAGAGAGGTGCCTCAAAGGAAAGGTTGATTCTGCTCATGTTAATGGTGTTTCAGAGATTGTAAAGGATTTATGAAGACAAATTTTGATTTGTATTTACTCTTCAATTTGTAATATTTATAAACAGCATTTCTGTATAAATATAAACTGCTTGAATTATAATAACATTCTTAATATTACTTTTAAAACTTAAAAAATTATAGTATTTTTTTTTAAATGTCAGATTTTCTCTTTTATAGTTAGTCAATTAACATCTCAGATGACATCTATTATTATTTTTATTATTATTATTATTAATATTACTTTTAAAACTTAAAAAATTATAGTATTTTTTTTAAATGTCAGATTTTCTCTTTTATAGTTAGTCAATTAACATCTCAGATGACATCTATTATTATTTTTATTATTATTATTTCTTTTTTGCAATATTCACAAATTACTTCAGAATAAATAATACCTCGTACTGTAACCCATGGGAAAGAAGGTACCTATTTCCCCCCTTTACTGTATTAGTTGCACTTTACATGCAAATAGTTCCTCTTCTCCTCCCTTTTCCTCTTCTCAACAAATTGTCAGTTGAGCTTTGTGTTCTAGTATCAAAAGTTGTATTAGGTAAATCCAGATTAACTAATGAATGATGTATATCTGATGATTGCTGCAGATTTGAAGACTGCTGTATATCATGCTTTTGCTGATCTGCTGTATTGGCCTCAAAGATAGCATACCAAGCACTCTATTGAGTATAAGCGATGTGTGTATAGCTGCCTGTTTCTGAAGAATACTAATATCAATGTTGGATTCTAATTGATCTATGTATTTCTTTATGTTTTTTGCCACTATTCCTGTTGTTCCTATTACTATTGGAACAACAGTCATCTGTGTATTTAACAGGCGGTTAACTTCCAATTTCAAAAAATGATATTTACTTATTATTATTATTTACAAAAAATTTTTGTAAACACTACCTGAATTTTTCGATATAAAACAGACATATTTTCATCATCAAAAGGAAGGTAACCACATAATAACGCATACAGAAGAATTCCCATACTCCATATATCAACCTATAAGAATAATTAAACATATTTTAATATATTTTAATGGATTAGACATTTGTGTGTATTACATTTAATTTTGAATTCAAGTAAAATAGTACAAGTATTTTTCACATACAGTAAATCCAAAGAGTAAGTAATTTACTTACTACAGGTTAGTCCCAAAGTGATTACAGTAAACAGATTCTACTGTATGTAAGACATTACAGAAACACATATGAGAAAATACAAACTCAGTAAAACAAAAAAAAATAATAATAATAATACATATATATTGTTAAACTAATCTAGCAGAATACACTTAAATATAGTAAGAACATAGAACACAGAAAAGGTAAATTCAATAAAATAAATATGAAAATAGTAGAAAAATTAGTTCAGAAAACATTAATAAAAAAGATGTAGTCAATTTCCCATAGCTGTGGAGATTGTGCTTTATTCCAACAGTATCTTGTCTCTTGAAATAGAAGACTATTTCTTTATATACAGAATTTTGTATATATTCAATAAGTTTCATAAATTTAAATTGTTTTAAATAACACAGTAGTAAAAAACAATATGAGCTTGCTGGCCTTATCGTTATAATTATCAGACTTATCACACACTTTTCTAATTTCTTCATTTAATGTTTAACATCCCAGAATGTATTTCAGCTTTTTTAATAGCCCTCCTCAGAATCAGAAATGTGTGATAACTCTGATAATTATAACAATAAGACCAGCAAGCTTGTATTTAATAGATTAACAGAGTGAAAGCTTAAATTGTTGTTTTTGATAATTTTACTTTAAAAAAATTTTATAAACATTTCCTTATACAGTAGTAAATTAGTATTTTTGTTATAACATTGTTTCAGATAAATATAAAAATAGTCTATATATTTGAATGTTGTTTGAAACTAATGAATTATATTGTAATATCTTTATGAAGAAAAAATATTTATTATTTTATTTTGAATTCTATATGAATAATACAGGAAACATACTGGTGTTCCAATTAAGAATATCACATCAAAAGTAAACCAAAGTTTATCTTATAACCAAGTCTGTTTTAATCAGGAGACAAAATTCAGTTGGCAAAAAAAAATTTTTTTATTTGCTATGCATTTTGAGATTAAAGTATCCACTCTTCAGACTACAAAAATATATCTGACATTAGCAATCTTAAATTGACAAATTAATAAATACAATAAAAAATTAAATTGCATTTATCATGTAAAGTCAGCCATAGTGATTTAGTTTCTAAATTGTTATATATCTGCATGAATGATTTCTTGAAGATGTAACATCTTTTACATTAAAATAAATAATAACTAAAGAAATTTAAGAGTTTATACTGTAAAGAAAAATCAGTATATTTACAAAGTAAATTTATCTGCGATTTCATATCTAAGCTAAAGCATGCAGTCTATTCAAAAAGTTCTAAAATGTTTAAAAAAAATAAAATTTTATTAATAATTCTAAAAAATAAACTTGTTTCTTAATGTTCTATCTGTTTTCTTAATATCGCAAAGATATATTCTAAAACTGTCTTCTTTTAATAATCTCAAACTTTTCATTGTCTGGATGGGATTTAGCAAGTATTCTTCCTTTAATATCTTACATAAAGGTACAACAGTAAGCACACAATAAAAACCACAACAGTACATGTTTTGCTAAAAAAATTGAGAAAAGTTACAGTTGTGTGCATTTTTAAAAAAATCAGTTTTTTAATACTAAAATACTACTTTGATTAATGTAGCATTTGTTGTTACTAAAAGTAAAGTAAGCACAAAGTTTAATAGCTTCTAGACTTAATTAGGGTCTTTGAACATTTTTCAAAGGAAGAGCTAATCTTATTCTTGTATAGCACTTTGAATTTTGTTATAAATACAACATTTATAAACTGTAATTATTTTTAAAGTAAAATAAAATTAAAATATGTTAATATTTAATTATTATTTAAGTATTTCTCTATCAGATTTAGCCAGTCTAATTCTTTATTTATATAAATTTTTATCTCATTACTTGTTAAATACTATAATACTGTAATAATCATCAAATTAACTATCATTATTAAACTAAAAATGCCAGTTACAACTTCATTATAACAACATCACTAGTATAAGTTATAATAATGTAATAAGTTTAAAAGTATAGTATTTACTAATACTATTATATATTATTATGAAATTAAGACTAATATCGTATAGGGATACAAAATAAGGTATTTCAGTGAGAAGAAATGTTTTAATTTTTTCAAAGAAATATTTACTATTAGTGCAAATCTTAATATATAAAGTAAATGAAATTAACAAGTAGAAAAACCCAAACATAGAAAAATATCAAAACCAAACATGTATTTAGACCTGGTTTGAATCTAAATTTAAATTCATTAGTAAATTATCAAATGATTAACTGTTAGATAACTTATTTGGAATAGTTATTTTATTACCAAATATTTTATGATTATACAATGGGGGGAACTAATTTTTATGATAGAGTTGATAATTTTGGATATTACTTGTTAGCATCTGTAAATATTACATCTGAATCAATATAAAATTTCATAACATCTAAATAATAGTAATAATTTAATTTTTAAGATAATGAAAATGGATTCATGATAAATTAATTTGAAGTAATATATTACAATTTTACAGTTAGAATATATTGCTAATGAAGTAACTTGAATCATAAGCATATCTATCTGTAATTTTTGTAAATATTCTGTATGCCCAGTAAAAATTTAATATCCCAATAAAATATTTTAGTTGAAAATATTTAAGCAATACAATATTTTTAATGAATAGAGAAACACAAGTATTAAGATTTCTTTAATTTAAATGTTTTTAAACTTATAATTGGAAGATGTAAATTTATTAAAAATAACTTATTTCTAAATCAGAATATATAAATTTCATATATTGAATACTTATAGGATATACAGCAACAGTTTTTATAAACACTTTAAATACTATATTTTTTTAAATTTTATCAACTGACAGTATTATCTATTTTATTATGTTTATATTTATTTTAAAATAACTTCATTGAGCATCTATTTGTAAAATTTTTTAATATATGAATGTATATATAAAATAGTTATAATATTGTTATTTTCTGAAATTAAAAATTACAGTGTACTGTACATATATCTATTGACATTTTTTCCTTTGAAATATCTTATGACAATGTTTTTAGTTTAATATGTAATATAAAAATATGCAAAAATATTAATTTAATATTCATAATGTTTATGAAAATTATTTTGAGGACATGTTAATGCTCATGTCCTAATCTTAGTTAATCCTAAATATAAAATAAAATTATCATTCAGTTTTATATAAAAAAGATATTTAAGAAAAAAATTGATTAAAAACATTTTTTATCTTTAAATTAATAATAAAAATATCTTAATTTTAAAATAAATATATTTTTTATAAAAATGTAGCTCAAAATCTTAGGATTCAAAATTTCAATAAGGAATAATTATATTGCAACTATTATCAATTAACAATATTATCATATTACTTCATTTCCAAAATACTGTTTTCCACTGATAAGTTCTGGTGCTGCATAAGCTGGACTTCCACAACATGTTGCCAAATGACTTGTCATTCCACCCTAAAATAAAAGTATATATATTTGTAAAATATATTTAATTAAATATAAAGTTTTAAAAAGTTTCTATTGGTTCATATTTAAAAGTGTATGTTATGAATTATGTTTAAACATTAATTAATAAGGTGTATTGCCCATTATATTAACATTACTTGAATTATTCCTATAATAACAGTCATATTATATTATATAAGATTTTGAAAAATTCAATGTATAGATTTTACAATTTAAAATGTATATTTAATATTTTTCATCTGACAATAACTTTACATATATGATTATTTCAACTTATCAGGTAACTCTTAATTTTTGATTTATTTTATATTTACAAGATAAAAACAGTAACAGATAAATGTAATTATATTTAAGTTATTAAAAGTAAAAACAATATTAAAATAAGAATTAAAATTGCAACATTTAAATATCTCTGTTTTTAAACTTGACCAAGTTTTTTTGAAATTATGAATTTATTTACTACTAGTAAATAGTATAACAAATCCAAGTACAGAGTTTTAGTTAAATGATATATAGTAAAACCCTATGTTGAAGTTTAAGGGTAAAAAAAAATCCCAGTTTAATAATTCCAAGTTTAATACCCTAATTTCTCAATTTTTCTTTGGCCATAAGTTCATCATTTCTTGAGAATCTGTTCACAATGTTATAAACATTGTATACAGTCTATGTTACATTTGATGCATTGTCAAGGCATCCCTTATGTCCCAATCAGAATGCTGGTAACATACTGTATCAGTAAAAGAATGTTGACAGAAAAATGTAATGGCATGAAGTCATAGTATTTGTTTATCTTAATCATTTGTATTTGCACAAAATATAAGAGCAAATAAAGATTGTGGGGTTCAGGGGCCGTAAAGATTTTTTTACCTACTTTTTTAGGTAGAGTCCTGCCACCAGGTGTGTTTTATCGGACACACCGCCGTTTGAGATGAAATGGGTGATTAAGGCGCGAGGGTAAGAGTCACTCTGAAGTCCAGGAATGAGCCTCTCAGGAGGAAGAATGCAGAGTCAGATGTAACCAATTTAAGGACATTTATTAACGTAAACGAAAGTTTAGAACAATTATAAAAGCTGATTTTGGAAATTTGCCTATTCTTATCTATTCAACAAGGGGGTACCTAACAGGGGGTATTTTGAACTTATGCGACTCACAACATACCAGGTAAACAAGATGTCTTCTCTTGTGACATGGATCTGACAACCAAGACTGTGGAGGTTTCTGGTGTTCGCTGCACTTCGTCTTGTGCTTGCTCGTTTTTGAGTCATCTTCTCTCGAACCATTCTTTCTCTGGTTGGAGCTGTGTCCATAACTGCTGACTATCTCACTGTCTCTTTCTGGCTGGTCTGTGTCCTCATCTCTGACTGCCTTTCTCTGACTGGAGCTCTGCTTTTAAATCTTTCCAGCATGAGAAAGTTCATCATCAGGTGATGATTCATTGGCAGTGTCATCATTGTAGCTGAGGCAGTGTTTTCTCATTTGATGATGACGTTGAGCTTTCATAGAGTCATCTCTGAGTTGGTGTTTTCTTATTCCTGACTTGACATGACTCATCTTTGCTCTTAGTCATTGTTTGTTGATTGCTTTGACTAAGTTCTTCATGTAAACATTGCCAAAAACAAAGGGGGATGCAATGTTCNGCAGAGTCAGATGTAACCAATTTAAGGACATTTATTAACATAAACGAAAGTTTAGAACAATTATAAAAGCCAATTTTGGAAATTTGCCTATTCTTATCTATTCAATGAGGGGGTACCTAACGGGGGGTATTTCGAACTTACGCGACTCACAACATACCAGGTAAACAAGATGTCTTCTCTTGTGACATGGATGTGACAACCAAGACTGTGGAGGTTTCTGGTGTTCGCTGCACTTCGTCTTGTGCTTGCTCGTTTTTGAGTCGTCTTCTCTTGAACCATTCTTTCTCTGGTTGGAGCTGTGTCCACAACTGCTGACTATCTCACTGTCTCTTTCTGGCTGGTCTGTGTCCTTATCTCTGACTGCCTTTTTCTGACTGACTGTCCTTCTAACTAAACGATGTCCTCCTCTCTGACTGACTTTCACTGACTGGAGCTCTGCTTTTAAACCTTTCCAGCATGAGAAAGTTCATCATCAGGTGATGATTCATTGGCAGTGTCATCATTGTAGCTGAGGCAGTGTTTTCTCATTTGGTGATGACGTTGAGCTTTCATAGAGTCATCTCTGAGTCGGTGTTTTCTTATTCCTGACTTGACATGACTCATCTTTGCTCTTAGTCATTGTTTGTTGATTGCTTTGACTAAGTTCTTCATGTAAACATTGCCAAAAACAAAGGGGGATGCAATGTTCTCCATTTTTATATATATATCCTTTATAATTTTTGATTATTTGGTTGCTTCTTCCTCCTTTCTTTGGCATGTTGTGAGATTTCTGATAGTTGAATAAACTGTTTTATTCTAGTTAATTGATATTAAAGAAGGGGGTCCCTAGATTGGTAAAATTGGCGAATTTCCTCTTACAACTTCAGTTGTTATTCAAGATACAATTAAGGTTCACGCGAATACATAATTAAAAAAGATATAAAGTAAATAAACAAAAATTATTACAAATAACAGTTTACAAATGTATATATATATACGAGGGCTGTTCGGAAAGTTCGCGGCCTCAAATAGAACAACAAACAAAATAATGTTAAAACTTTTTTTATTTTTCAATGTAGTCTCCTTTATTAGCAATGCACTTATTCCAGCGATGTTCTAGCTTTTTTATGCCATTACAATAGGTCGATTTGTCAAGGTGTGCAAAATACTCGTTTACTTCAGAAATGACTTTGTCATTTGAGTGGAATCTCTTTCCAACCAAGAATTATTTTAAATTTGGAAAAGGGTGGAAGTCACTGGGGGCCAAATCAGGTGAGTACGGTGAACGTGGAACTAATTGGAAGCTAAGTTCGTTTATCCACGTTTGTTCAGTGATTCTGGCATATCGTGGTGAAACAGAACCTTCTTCAAGTGTGGCCTCTTCGATTTCTTTCTTCAGTTTCTCCAAAAGTATACAGTAATAGACAGCATTGATGGTCTTTCCTCTTTNCAGCCAAACAATATGTAAAATTGCTTCTAAATAATGAAGTTAAATTTCCACATAACAACTTTTTAAAAATTTGTAACCATTTTAAAGCACAAAGTGCTCTCTACTGATTTATCCTAAATGGTTTTGTTTTCATGTTTACTCTTGTCTATTTTCTACTGTCAAATTAAAAATGGAAAAGAAGCAAATTTGAGCAATTTTATTGTATTAGTTCAATATGGGACATAAAGCAGTAGAAACTGCACACAATCTCAACTAAGCATTTGGTGAAGAGACAATTAGTGAATGTACAGCTCAACATCGATTCCAAAAATTTCTTCATGGAGATGAGAGTCTTGAAGATGAGGTAGGTCATAGATGTCCTGAAATTGATGTTAACTAATTTAAGGTGATTATTGATGATGATCCCCACAAAACAACTTGAGAGGTTACAGAAGAACTAAACTTTAACCATCCAATATTAGTTTGACATTTGCACCAAATAAGAAAATCAAAAAAGTTCAATAAATGAGTGCCACGAACTGAATGAATATAAAAAAAATTCACCATTATAAAATCTGCTCTATGCTTCTTTTGCACAACAAAACTGACCTGTTTCTTAATTGCATTATGACATGTGAAGAGAAGTGTATGACAATCATTGGCATTCCATGCAGTAACTGGACCAAGATGAACCACCAAACAACACTTCCTCAAACCAAAGCTGCACCAAAAGAACATTTAAAGTTACTGTTTGATGGTTGGCAAGTGGAATTATCCACTACAGTTTCTTGAATCCTGGTGAAACTATCACAACGGAGAAGTATTGTCAGGAAATCAACAACATGCACCAAAAACTAATGTTTACATATGACATTGATCAATTTGAAAAGGACCGATTTTTCTCCATAACAATGTCTGACCAGATGTCTCAAAAATGACTGTGCAGAAATTAAATGAACTGGACTATGAAACTCTACCTCAACTAGCTTACTCACCAGACCTCTCTTTGACTGTCACTTTTTCAAGCATCTTGACAACTTCCTGCAAGAGAAGAATTTCAACGACCAAGTAGCAGCCTAAAATACATTTAAAGAATTTATTGTTTCAGGATTTTTGAAATCTATACTACTAAAATAAATAGACTTCTTACTTGTTTGCAAAAATGTGTAGATTCTAATGGTTCTTATATCAATTAATTAATAAACTTTATTCTAAGCTGAGATATACTGTTTTAAAGTTAATGAATGAAAACTGCAATTATTTTTGCACCATCCCATATGATATACTGAACCAATACATTTTGCATTTATATATACATTTATAAGTGTAAGCGAATATTTACATTTTGTAAATATAGAAATATATTGTCAAGTGATATTTTGCAAAAAGAATTATGGACAGAAATTTCAACATACAACTTTCCATTGTAATTATTTAATAATTTCTTCATTTTATTCATTATATAAGTTGTAATTTTTGGTTTTTATGTTTACATACAAGGACAGCATGAAAGTTACAGCCTAGGAATGATAAAAATGTTAAATCTGTCCATATTTAGTTATTATACAGTATTTGCTAAACATCAATGTAATATTATCACACTGTAATATCATAGCAAAGTCAAAGCACAACTATTCTCTCTCAAATCTATTATACTGACTTTTAAATAACAGTAACTACAATTTTGCACACAAACATTATACAACTTTTAGTTAGATTTCTGGCTTACCACAGACTGATTAAAAATGAATAATTCCTGTGACCATATTTATATTTATAATGTCAACTTCATAATAAAAGTTTGAAAATATCTGTCACATTTAATCTAAAGCATTCATTTAAGTGTTTCATTCTTGAAGAACTGATTAGTCTTTATACTTACCAATTTTCACAATCCATTATAAATCAGGTATTTGTAAAATTGAAAAAAATAAAATCATCCTTTAATAGTCAAAATTTAGCAAGTTGTTTTAGTAATGAAAAGTAAATAAAAGTGCTCATTCAAATAAGATTAAAAAAAATTTATTTATTTATTGAATATATAAACACTATTGTGAAAAACATACTTTCATCATGATTAGTGAAAATTATTTTCCTAAAAAAAATGACAAAGCATTTGTAAAGTTAGAGTGAAATATGTTCTGGATATCATTTATTATTTGTAAATGTCTAAGTAATAAACAATAAATTTTATAATGGAAAATGAATCTTATGCAGATATATAAAGAATGGAAACATTTTACTGCATTAAATTAGTTAAATCTAGGATGAATGTGATACTTTTGAATAATAATGTTTAAGAAAAATTAAGTGTTAAATAAGAAACCATATCATAATTAGTAAATTAATAAAACATTTTCAAAATTATATATAACATACAACTTTAAATAAATTGTGAAAAATCTCCTTACTTTTGGTCTTGCACATAATCCAAAATCAATCAATTTTAAATTCTGATCTTCATCCAAAAGAAGATTTTCCTTTAATAATGATAATCATATTCAACAAAAAAAGCATATAAATATGTGGATACTTTATAATCTTTAAGCATTAAAAATATCCCTTATAAATTATATTTTGATATTGTAAAAAGAAATATCATTAACAAAAAATATTTGCATTTATAACATAATAATGTATAATATTTTTTATATTAATATACAAGGACTATTCTGAAATCAATGTCTGATTGGCTAGTAAAAAAGCCTCAAACAGAGGAAAACATTTATTATATACAAAATTTATATACATATGTAAACCACATTTCGACATTGTTGCCACCCAAAATCAGGCATGTCCATTATGGCAAAGGCTTTTGTAATCCCTTGTCAAAAATTATCACTACCAGGTTACCTAACAGGTTGTTGAGTCCTTCCATGAGATCCTTGGTTTCAAGGCTCTGGGTAGTCACAGCCAGACCTTCATCTTGCTAAAGATGATAGTCACTTGGTACCAAGTCCAGGCTATAAGGGAGTGGTCAAAAATCTCCCAGGTGAACTCTTGAGTAAAGTCTTTCAGCAAACTGCAGTATATGAGGCAGGAAAGCAATACCCTTGGTGAGCATTCCACATCTTATCTGTTATTTTGGATTGATCTTCATAATTTCATCAGTATTTTATATTAATCGTCTAATGTTATTGTTTTACTTGGTACCATAAATTACATAACCAAAATTTCATTGTGATCTCAGAAGATTATGGCCATCATTTTTCAGTTTGAAAGGGTTGGTTGGAAATTCTTGGATTGTTTGAGAATGTGTATGCATCCATTGTTTTGATTGTTTCTTTGTCTCTGCATTCAGAAATAGAATCTGTGTCTCATCCCCAGTTATGATCATGTCAAGAAATTCATCTCTTTTCTGGCAGTGCAAAAGAAACAAAGCTAAACCCATTCTTTGATGCTTTGTGAACATCAATCAGTTGTTTTGGTATCCACTGGGCACAAAACTTGTGATAGCCTAATCTCTGTGACAATATAAAATAAAGTAGTCCTCATAATTTGAATAAATTCAACAGAAAGACTTGAAATTATAAAACTTTTTCATTCAAAATATTAACACATACCACATAGCTGGCAGGAATGACAATGATAGGATCCACATTTACTCAATAGCTACTTTTGCAAATAAAAAAAAACTGAGCAATAAGACAGCATTCAGTAATATTAACATCTATTAATTCTATATACAATGTGATATATTACTATTGTAACCAGTTTATTTTTACCAGCCAATTGGAAATGGATTTTGGAATAGCCCTCATATAATATATTACATATTGATATTATAATGTACAACTGTTGTACATGGTATATAATTACAAGTTAAAATTTAATCCTTTATGTAAAATATTAGTTGATAAGAAATTTACGTAAAAATTTTGAATCAAACTAAATGCTTCACATAAATCTAAAGTAATTTTGACAAAAATTTACATAATTTTTAGATTCCTCTGTAAAAGTTATTTTCTTCTCTCATTAAAATTAGTAAAATTTTAATAATATAAAAATTTTAAAGTTTAGTATTACATTAAATATATTAACATCTTTCCCTCACATACCTTTACACACATCTGCTTATTAAAATCATGGATATTGTCATCAGTTGCCTAACATTATCAGACAGCATATCGAAGACAAATGTTTACAATACACTTACTTTAATCAAAAGTTTCAATTACATAGTTATAAATTTTAGGTACAAAGGTCTTTTAAACAGTCAATATGTGACTGATAACATCTTTTAATGATTATGGGTTATCTGTCTTAACCAAGCTTTGAACATTACTGTTAATTGTTTTAATCATTAGGCTTGTTGTAATTTAAATTGATAGCTTACTTCAATTAAAAAAACTGAAGCAAAAACATGTGAGGGTCACATAACTGAAAATGGGGTTGTCACATAATAGTAAATCCTGTAAGAGACTGATCACATGGGATGACAGACTTTTTCTGACATGACTTGAGTTTTTATTTTTGCATAGGTTATGAGTATTCTTATGGGGACTTTGGGTAAGCAAACAGAGAAGAAATTCGAGAGGCAACATGGAAGCAATTAACTCAAAAGCAGCATTAAGACAAAACACATTTATTTACAACTATTACTCTAACATACATGAATAACTAAGTAATAAATACACTAATCTATCAATTAACTTGCAAGTATTGAGAGAAAGATTATAATTGGTAATACTTGATGATATTTACCTGGGGTCTCAAAAAACAGTCCTTCATAGTCATTCTGGGAGTTTTTAGTCTTTGTTGGTGTATAATGTTCTTACAACTCCTTAGAAGTAACCCATCACAGAAAGAGGGCACTATATAATCTAGCAAACAAGAGCTAAATGAGGAGCCTTTTCGACGTGAAACAGGAAAAATCAAAGGACATGGAAACTCTGAGGCAGACAGAAGAGCAAATATCTCAACTTATCATTTCTTTTATATTTTTCCTTATTATAAGTGTATCAATACTTGATCAAATTTGGCAAGATCATATATGGCTTTTAACTGTCATCCAATCCTAAATTTTAATAAGAACTTTCTTGGATGAGTAAATAGCTTAGGAAGATGTGTCATAGTAGAAGGAAAGTTAGAAGTCAATAAAAGTTCATTAACTTCCTTTATGAAATTTATGAATTTAAGCTTAATTAATCTTTTCACAAATATTAATTCCATAAATTATTAGAAAAGGCAACCTGGGTCATCTCAAACATATGAGCATAGTTCAGTTATTCTGCTTGAATTGCACTATGGACATTAATGAACATTTAAAAAACAGAAAAATGAAGGTATTGTGGAAGACTTCAATCAATGATTTTCTGTAGAAACCAAATGTTCATGTCAATGCTGAAAAAGTCAGCTTAAAAGTCAGATTGCAAATATTTCAAAGCAACAAATACAACATACCTCAACAGATCTCCATCTTGACAGTTGACATAAATCCAATATAGTATATACAATTGAAAAAGAACACTTTATATTTAATAAAGCAATTTACCAGCTATTATAAAATGTATTATAGAGAATGTAAAGTTTGTATGGTTATATGACTGTCAGTACAGTTGCTTTGTTTTGTTTCAACTATATGTGCTTTGCACACACTAATGATATTTGTCCCATAAAGCATTCATAATAGACATAACTTTGAATAGTCTTGCTATGTATATTATGGGATTATAAATTGAGTTATATGTAGTTGGTTGTCTCAATAGAACAATAAATTCAAGAAAGCACATAACAAGATGGACAATGCTGATTTATAATTGCTGAACAACAAAAATCTATAAATGCCAACTTGCTTCAAAAATTTTGTCCTGATGACATCTAAAAGCTGATAAAAAATACCTGATTTATCATGCAACACTGAACCATTCTACAAGCTATAAACATGCAACACTTGGATAATAAAAAAAGAATCACATGTGTTATGCTGTTCAAATATGTCATAAATGACAAACAAACTTTTGATATTGGGAAAAACACTAAGCCTCAATACCTTATGTAGCTAAGAATGAAACAATTAAGAATTATACTAATAAGAACTCATAGATAAATTTTGAAATTAAGAAATAGCTAATGAATTGCTACATAAAATTATAATAAATGTCAAGAAAGATTTCTTGTCAATTATTTGGGACAGTCTCATTGAAAAACATCCCATTTGGAACTTGTCTTTCAACACCACATCTTTGGGGCAGTTAACAGAAATGGAAATCATGAAGAATTTACCTATGTATAGGTAATAGGTATCTCTTGATTAATGCAGTTAATTAATCCCTCGATGCTACTGCATATATCAAAATTGCATTAATGAAATAGGGTGTTAATGTTAAATAAAGACAGCTGTTAAAGCCATGTTAATTAAAACTTCTGCATATATAAATAAATTGCTGCAATTAATTTTGAATGTTAATCAAATCCGACATTAAGCAAGAGATATCTGTATTGTAAAAAAGTGGTAAAATATATCATTGAAGCAATTAATGTTCGATACATATATAAAATTAAAAAATTATATTTAGCATAGTTATTTTTTTATCTGTTATCATTTGTTTCAGAATTCATTTAAACTTTTAAAATAAATGTTTTAAATTATCATTTTTTAATCTAGAGAGCTTTACTATTGGATATTCTAGCTATAGTGTTTTGTAATGACATACTTAGATATAAAATATTGATAAATTACTAATAAGAATTTATACTGTAAAATTTTATCATTTTAAATAATGAAATATTCTTACAGGTTTGAGGTCCCTATGAGCATAACCTTCATTATGAATATAAGCAATGGCAGAAACAATTTGGCGAAAGAAATGCCTTGCTTCTTTTTCTCCTAACTTATCTTTTACTACTATATAATCAAACAACTCTCCACCTGGACAATACTGAAAGTTTTTAAAAAATATATTTAGAATTCACAATTTTTTGACAAAATGATTTATTTCAAAAAAAAAAAATCACTTTATTCAATTCAGCATACATAAGTACAGTATATTCAAACAACTTACCTCTAGAATAAGAAATATTTCATTTTGTGTTTCTATTACTTCATACAATTTGCAAATATGTTGATGACTGAGATCTTTCAGTGCTTTGATTTCTAATTTCACACGAGGCAGATCCTCCTTTTATAAAATTTTATTATTTATTTCTTAAAATGTTTTGAATATAATTAAGTACAAAATATTAAATTTACCCCAAGAGACTTTTTGTTCATAATTTTAATAGCAACTTTCTCTCCCGTTAACACATGTATTGCTAATTTAACTTTAGCAAAGCCTCCTATAAAAACAAAATATAATAATAAAATTGCAATAATTAAAAAGTGTACTTCTTTTACAATAAGAATAAGTTTGAATCTAATTACATAAATAGAAACAAATTTTTTATTGTCACTTTGTAAGTAATTATGTAATACTGATATTTTATATGTGACAACCTTAATCTAGGCTATTTGTTAAGAAATATCTATTTAGAAATAAAAAGAAATGCTATATTTCAGAATTAAATTTTGTTAAATTATTTTAAATTAAGTTTAAATTAAATCTGAAGATCAAAAATGTTCATTTTAGGGATAATATTTACATAATTAAATTTTATTTATTCTGTCACTTATGTCACATCCCACAGGGAGAAAGGTAGTTCAGAATGTTACAATAGTATAACAAGGGGAGAGAAGAGGAATTGTCCTTGTAATGTCATGCTTTACATTTAGTATTAATCAGTAGCATACAAACATTTTTAACACAATATGTCACATTCTAAACATATTCTTTAAAATTTTAGTTTTTATATAAAAACATTAAAAGATAGGAAAAATTAAATGTATATTATACAGTTACTTTATTATGTCTGGTAATAAAATCTGTTATGGCCACAACAAAGTTATTGGTGCTATTTCTGTGACTACAATAGTTCGGAATTTATATCACTATTTAAATATGTAAATAGTAAAAATTTATATTCTCACTATTTGTATGTTACAAATAACTCATCAGTCATTTTTTTACAAGTCTGAAAGTCAAATGAATTTTAAGATAAGTAATGTTATGAAATTGTTGTGCTGTGCTATGAAGTCACAGGTTGTCTTTGTTTCAAAGTTCTGTTAAGTTAAACAAGGTAATTTTGTATATACATGACACTTCAATATTGATTAGGGCACAGAACTCAGATCAAGCCCACTAGTATATTTACAAGTTAAGGAATTATTTACCATGTTAGACTTGTTACAAATGTTTGAATTTTTAAAAATTCAAAGTTCTTTTATTTTCAGATTGTCATCAAAGAAAAAGGAAATGTTGAGAAGCTATAATTGATGTTTTCTAAACCTGTAGACTGCAATGCCTCTCATGGATTGAAGGGAAACAAACTTTGAATTTGACTTTCTATACTCCATCCCAATAAATGAACTCTGTAAGCAGTAGCAAAGTGAAACTTTTTTAAAATTACTTTTCACTAAATGCTTTTGGACTTTTTTATTTATTATCAGAGTTGGTTTGATCTAACATTAAAGAGATCAGAAAGGGAGAGACTTTTAAAACATTTCAAAAACTGACATTTATAGAAGTGGTTAGAACAATTCAAACCAAATCAACTCTGATGATGGGCAAATCACTTAGTGGAAAATAGTTTTAAGAGGTTGAACTATATGGTAAGCAATTGTAAAAAATGAACTTTTGAATTTGTTTGGAATAATTTATTCAGGAATGTAATGCAAAAAATGTTGAGTGAATAGATGTTGACAGCATAGACATGACAAGACAAAGTGAAACAGTTGTTCTATTGTTATAGCACATAATGGAGGAAAGAAGTTGATGAAAAACTTTGCTTTTACTAGCACAACTTTATTTAAAACAAAAAGAATACTGTAAGGCAGAACATTTCCTTATGTTTTGAGAGGTGATGATCAATTCATAAAAACTACATCTGGTCCTCAAAACTTCTCTCCTTCTACTATACATTTTTCCATAAACTTGTAAACCCTTCCTCTTCTGAGAAGATGCAAATGTAGTAATCACAAAAGCATTCCTATGGTCACATGCTTCTAACATACCTGTTGTGTCAATTGAGAGCACCTTATAAACTCTTGGGAATGAAATAATTTGCTAGCAAGTTGCAGTGAAAAGAAATTCAGTAATTCCATTCAATTCAATAATACTATTGTTATGTAGTGTTTTATTTTGATAAAAATGTAAATAAATCATTTTATGTTAATATCCATTACATAATGCAGTGTATAAATACACTGAATTATTACAACATAAATGTTGTAATAATTCAGGCTATATTGCAGGTTTAATAATAAGGCTTTTCAGAGAGCTGACAATTCCTAAAAATGACATTATTTGTGTGGGAAGCTTTGTAATAATGTGACAATGAATGACAAAGAAACAAGAGAATTAACAATGTGGAATTTTAGTGTAACATCATTTTTGAATGGTCCATTACAATTCTAAATACAGGTATACCTCGCCTTACGTCGGTAATTGGTTCCAGGAAAACGACGTAAGTCGAAAAACGACGTAAGTTGAATTTACTTATCTCCGAATCTACTTGTCACTAGGCTAAACCATAAATTACCATTCCTGGTTTTGTATTTTATTTATTAATGCATTTTTAATAATATATGGTTAATAAAAATCTATTTTAAGCTTACAAACAAATAAATTTTAGTTTTTAATATAGTACAGAAAAAAGTATTCTAAATTTACGAATGCATGTACAGTAAATACAGAACATACTAGTATATATTTTAATATGATTTTATGTGCTTTAAACGCTTTTCTAGTGATATTATGACTTCAGTATTTGTGGCAGACGGATGTAAACTCGAATAAAATGACTTAAACTTGATATTTATTTTTTCATATTTTTTTGACAAACGACGTATAATCGGGAACGACGTAACTCGAAACGACGTAAGTCGAGGTATGTCTGTAATTTACCAACATGTTTTAGTTGTGAATTTGTCTCTTTAATCCGATTTTCAGTTCGGTAGACTATCATATACAGCTTTCAGGTTATGAACTTCTTTTATTGGTTTGTCATATGCATTTCGGACTCAATTGTAATTTAAGTCCCTCTTCAGTACAAACTCAGATTCTGTTTTCTAAAAACCTCGGTGTATAATTGGTAACGTTGAAAAAGATTAAAAATACAGCCATTTAAAAAACACTTCAACTACATTAATACGTTGCACACTTTACAATTGTTCATAAAAACCTTTATAATTACAACTTTTTTCAAGAAAATTCGTATGTTCTTTATTGAAATGTTGCAGCAATAATAAACATTTTTTTTTTTCAGGTTAATAACACGTGGTAATTACTATTAACACACTTAAGAGGATACATCCACACTTTTACAATATATGTTGTATTAATCATATATTGTAAAAGTGTGGATGTATCCTCTTAAGTGTGTTAATAGTAATTACCACGTGTTATTAACCTGAAAAAAAAAAATGTTTATTATTGCTGCAACATTTCAATAAAGAATATACGAATTTTCTTGAAAAAAGTTGTAATTATAAAGGTTTTTATGAACAATTGTAAAGTGTGCAACGTATTAATATAGTTGAAGTGTTTTTTAAATGGCTGTATTTTTAATCTTTTTCAACGTTACCAATTATACACCGAGGTTTTTAGAAAACAGAATCTGAGTTTGTACTGAAGAGGGACTTAAATTACAATTGAGTCCGAAATGCATATGACAAACCAATAAAAGAAGTTCATAACCTGAAAGCTGTATATGATAGTCTACCGAACTGAAAATCGGATTAAAGAGACAGATTCACAACGAAAATAGCAGCAGCCATAAGTGATTTTCTGGCAACATGTTTTAAAAATTGATTATATTAATTTATAATCAATTTTTATTTAATTATATTATATTAATCTACCAAAATATTTTAAAAATTATTATAAAAAATGATTATGAGGAAAAATATGTCAGATTGAAAATGACCATAATCTGAAAATTAAAAAAGATACTAATTAAGAGATTTTAATAACAATCTTTTTTAATTTTCCTTATTATGCATACTATGTTGTTATATGTAAATGAACAGTTATTCAACTTTTACTTATTACATTACATATTACAGTAGAAAATAATTTAAAACTCCCTAACTTTAAAGTCAAAATTTACAAAAAATATATGCATAAAGATTTTCAGATGCAGTAAACAGAAGAATCTACTAAATCATTACACTGCAACTTCAAAACTATCAAAATAAATGTGACAATAATTTATTCCATTCAGCATACATAAGTACAGTATATTCAAAGTGTGGAAATAACATAGGAGATGTAGTAGTGTCATTCTATATAATTTGTGTTATATATTTAATTCTTGGTGTTTATGAAAAAAATTGATAGAATTATTTATAGTACACAACTTGAACAGAATGTAAGTTATATTTAAATAAAGGAATTGTTTGAAAATTTTTTCTAAAGTAATAAAATTTATCTTAACTTAAATCACACCATCAACTTTAGTAATAGTTCTAAATCAATAAAAAAAACTATGACATCATGTGATTTTGTTGTAAAGTGTGTCCGAGAAAGATCTTTATCATTCTAAACATTAATAACAAAAATACTAACAGGTGAAATGAAATGCAGTTTGCTGCAAAAGAATGAAGAAATCTAAGAGATTTTTTATAGTACCTTCAATGTAACTGTACATGAGCTCCGTTAGTAGCATGAACAATGTCAAGTCTGTACTCGATTTCCCTCCAAGTGTTTTTTAACATTTGTGGTGTGACAGTGAGGATTGCTAATTTTATCTTTTCCTTTAAAACGGCAATTGATACCAGAAAAAAACTCTTATATTTCTTCATTCTGTTGCAGCAAACTGCATTTCATTTCACCTGTTAATATCTTTGTTATTAATGTTTAGAATGATAAAGATCTTTCTCAGACCCACCGTATTGCAATAGAATTGAGACAGAGCTGGAAAAAAAGAGGTGATCCTTGCAACTAATGGTTGCAGAAGGTAAACTTGCACTTGCCACCAAAAGACAGGCTATCCTTGTATTTGTCAGTCATGAGAGAATTTATCTTTGTATCTGCTGGCCATGGGAGACACAGTTTGCACTTGCTGAAATGGAGAGGCAATCCAAGAACAAAGTAATTGCTATTGTTTGCATTGTTCTTGTGTTTTACTCATTTTTTGCACCTATTTTCCATTAGGCACACACAATGCTAATTCTATTTTTAACCCCTAGGCATAAATTCCATTAGGCACACTCACTTGCATCAAAGAGCATGGACATTATTAATTTAATACCTCTGTATATCGAAAACAAAGTCATGGACTCCTATTTTTTTTTTATTTAAATGGACCCTCTATTACAGGTGTGGCCAAACTTTTATCCCTTAGGGGCTACTTTTTTTGGTAAAATATAGTCTGTGGGCGACTATGAATATGGGCAAACAATTTTAGAATTTTTATATGTGCATGCATTAACGTTTATTTGCATTGTTCATCGGGATAAATACAAACAATATGGGTATGTTGCACAGACAGTCTATTATTGTAAGAATAAATTATCGAATTAAGATTTTTAAACATTAATTTAAGTGAAAGCAAATTGTTCAACTTTAGATTTGCAGGCTACTTTCAAAACCTTTGTGGTTGACCACGGTCTACATCCCTGCTCTATTATATTTTTGGATTCCTCATCACTATTAATGGAAAATGGCAAAGTTTTATCAAAATCAGCCCATTAAATTTTGAGAACAAACTCAATTCTATAAGCCCATAGAAGGCATGCTAGCAAACATCACACAACATTGTTGCACAATTTGAGATATCACTTTGTAACACACACTTGTGCTACAACATTATAGCTCAAATACAAAGTCATAGACCCCCATTTTTTTATTACGTTTTTAAATTACTCATTGCAATTAATGGAAAATGGCAAAGTTTAATCAAAATCGATCAAATAGATTTTGAGAATGAAAGCTTCATAGAAGAGAATTTACTAGCACTGCATGTCAATAAATCTGTAATCACAATGAAGATTTTCAATTGTCCAAACTGTGAGTAGAGATGTTAGCAACTATTACAAATATTAACACAAAAATCTACAGCATTTTCAAAATCAAATATTCTAATCATAGGAAATTGTAATTACAAAATACTTCAAATTCACCATTTCTGTATTTCTTATCTGTTAGATAGGTATCAATTTAGGATTTAATTTTTATGTTTTGCATTAACTATTTTTTGTAGTCACATGGACTAAATTGACTTGATTAATCAATATTAAATTTTTAAAATATTTATAAAATTCTATTAATATAGTTTCCAATCATACTCTAATAAAGAAATTTTATTATTTTGGAAAATTAAATCTATGTATTAATTTTAGCTATATATAAATAAATAAAAAATTGTTCTACAGAATTTAATAAAACTGTATTCTGTATAATAACTTAAATTATGTTCTTATAATAATTATAACTTTATTTGCCTTCATTTCAGAATTTTAATAACAAAATACTTCATCCAAAAAAGAAAACAATAGCATTGTTTTAATGTATGCATTTAATTGTTTGAATAAACTATATAAATATAAAGGTAACAAATTATAACAGATTAATAATATTGCAAGACTATAATTTTAAGATTTTCATCATCAAAAGAATATTATTATTATTATTGTAGTTGAAGCATTGTAATAATAGAATGTAAGTAAACCAAAGAAATAAATTAATGTCGGGGTAAGTAAGATGTTATCTGTAGTAATTTGGTGTATTCTACATCACTTTTTTCTCTAATTAATACTAAAACTTGGAATGTATAAATTGTGAAAGACAACAGAATAAAATGGTAATGCCATTTTATGCCATAATACTCACAGACTATATGTATGAATTAGAATCTCTAGATACTGAAAAAATTTATTTACAGTAATAACAAAATGTAAATCAACAAATAAAAATAAAAAATGACTTTAAATTTAATTTTTTGGAATTATTAATAATAATATTTAATTTCAGTTATGATAGTTATTAATTTCCTTTCTTATTTCAAATATAATGTACAAAAAAATTAAGATAAATTACATTCAAAAATAATAATTTTAACTTACCTGAACCAATTGTTTCCTTTAAAATGTATTTATTTTCTAAAACAGAATATCTACTTGAAGGCATTCTCTGTTTTTCCCCTCTTACTAAATATAAAAATCTACCTGTATTAAAAATAATATTTTTATAATTAATTTCCAAACATTTTTAAAAATCTGCAATCTCAACTTTTTGAAAGTTAACAATTAGTGCACTTAATAAAATGTTAATCATCAGAAATTTTGATTACTCAACCATTTTAAATGAATTTAATAAAAATATATTAAAAGAAATATTTTTAAAATTATAAAAATTAATTGCTAATTAAATTTGTCTTAACTCAATAACTAATTTAGTTAGTATACTGGTAGCTGAAAATGTAATTATTTTTTAAAATAATTTATAAATTGAAGATCAATTTCTGACAAATAATCAAAAATTTTAATGACATGCAGCTTTTGTGAAACAGCAATTGTTCTAACATTTGTGTTTATAAAATATACTGTTTTTTAAGCTTAATATTTAACTCCATCAAAATATTTTTGTATAAAAAAAAAGTATTTATAAATACAAATAATTCTGAAAATGCTTAAAAATTCTATCTTAACATTCAGTACAACTTTAAATCATAAACAAAATCTCAGTTTATAATAAAATTTATTAAAATCATCTTTTTTTTCATGACATGACAATACAATATTGTAATGTAGTTATTACATAACTTTTCATTTTAGTAAAAATATTTAATAAATATTTTGAGTTGACTTAATTTGCTTTTCTTGTGTAGTTTGTTTTATTAGTAATATATTTTTATATAAATTTTATTAATTTTGAATGATTTAATTTAGTACAGAAAAATTTCATACTATAATATGTAATGTAATTCTGACAAGTAAAGAATATTTTCTCTATGATATGTTATCGGTCCAATGGATATCTAATATTTTTTCAAGAGCAAAGGTCATGTAGAAGGAATTTTAATAATAAATAATTTTATGGAATTTAGTAAACCTGTAACTATTTTCTTTCATAAATAAAAATGAAATAAAATTATTATTAATAAAATTTATCATTAAAATTAAGTATTTCTTAGTATTTTCTTCTCAAAATTATACAGTAATTATTACATCTTTTAAATAAATTAAATAACCACAACAGTGATTAAGTTATCTATTACTTATTTGCAAGATGTTATATTTTTCTATAATTTATGTAAATTTTGGTATAAAATATTTGTAAATAGAATCTAATTTCTGAATGAATTAAATAAAAGTTCATTACTTAACAAGTACTATAACTACTATAAAAATAAGTTTAGAATTATAATCAAGTTTTAACGATATCCTTTGATCTTCTCTATTTTGAAAAATATTTTAAATAAATTATGTTGAGTATCTTGTAGATAAATATTTAAAATTTCTCAAATAATATAGCAAGACAAGCTTCAGCAAAACAGTAAATACTAAAATAATACAATTATAACTGTATAAAATAAGAACAATGATGTTTTTATTAATAAATATTGCTTTTATTTTCCTATGTTTATAGAAAAATAAAGTACAAATTAAAAGCAAAATTAATGTTTATTAAATTTAAATGTAGACAATAATCTCAAAGATTAGCTGATAAGTCTGACATAAGTAATCTAATTGATACATTAAAATAATAATAAATAATATAATAAATTAAGTTTTATCACATATAGATTGAGGTTAAATTTAGCGAAATAATAATAATAATATATAAGGCATCATGAATAAGTAAAAATAACAATATAATTGGAAATTAACTGTTATGATAAACAATAGTAAAGAAAGTTGATACAACTCATCAAAATATTGTCTATAGACATAAATCTATATTTATATGAAAAGTAACATGTCTATTGACTATAAATTAACTTTCATACAATATATAAAACAATAATTTCAACTTCCTCTTACTTACACTTATCAAGTAATCAATTTCTTTTCGATTAATCAGATTTTAAATTTGAAAAGTGTGCGTAGTAACCACGTGATTGGCAGACGTATCCTGATTGGCCTGATAAAATTAAAACAATTAGTACATTTTGTTTTAAATTTATTATATTATTTTATTTAAGTGATTTATATTAAATATTTTTAAATTATAACTAGTATATACTTTAAAAGTTATATTTATTATATTTGAAAATTTATAGTAATTTGATAGAGTGCAGGAAGCTAATTCGTCAGATTCGAGTATTATATATTTTAAAATTTTTTCTTGTTTTCTTTATTAAGTAATATAAAATATTTTATTCAAATTTGAAAAGTAATAAATATATTTTAAATTTGATAAAATATTTAACAAAATTTTATTTGTAACATTATAACCAATCAATCTCGAAGTATATTACCCATTAGCCGCGTTCAGCAGACTCAACGGTTCCAGAACAGTTGAATATTATTCTGTTGAAAGGCCTCTCTGTTGTAGCGGTACTTGCGAACATGCTGAATTTTTTGACGTCACGGTTAGAATCAGAATTCACTCGGCCATCCGGCCTCGACCGCCAGATGGTCGAGCGGTCAAGGTGGCAGCCTACCGCTCTGAGGACCATGGTATCGCATCCGGACGGGTCGAGCAATTCCCAAGAATTTTTCTGGAAATGGTCTGCCTGGATATGTCAGGTTCTGTTCCTCACCATCAAGCCGAACCAAAGAGGCTAACGAGCTTGCTAAAAGAGGCCCTCTTAGTGCCCACTAGGTAGAAACAGCTTTAAAAAAAAAAAAAAAACAGAATTTATTTAAGATGCCTTCGAATACCTGTAATTAACCAAGATGACTGCTTCCACATAGCAACTGCAGCATATATAATTTATGCTTATTATAACGCGCATTATAGTATTAAGCCACTCTGAAATATTTATTAGCAACCATAAACAGATGTAAGAAAAATACAACTTAAAAACATTCGATAAAATAAATTAAAGTCTCTAGAAACGAGCAGAAATTACTAAATCGCCACGGACCAACCCCCAAAAAATTCATGAGATTCCCGTTATGAGTTCGACTAGACCTGCAATGGGGCGGCCAGGTGATAAGGAATGATGTCCGGCGTATTAGGACTGACCAACCCAGAAAAGTTCCTAGGATTCGTCAACAAGTCCGGAATCGAACCCGGGACCCCAAAGCGGTAAGCTATCACCGTAACCAATCGGTCGTTCGTAGCGTTTTATCATCAATTATGCAGATCTCGCCAGATGAATCAGACAAATCGTTAATTGTTTGTAATTTATAAAGTTTATTATTCTATTAGTTGTAGGTCCTATGTTATTAAATGTTAAAGTGGATTTCCGTCAAAAATTATTAAACAATTCATCAAACTTAATATTGTTGAGCTTTATTCTTCTCATTCCGTTGTTGAAAAACGTTCGTTCAGATGTTGGGAATTAATGGAGGCGAGATTTCAATGAATTTGTTAGCAGGATGTTTGGTGTCTAGTGCAGATAAAGCGCCGAATATACACGGCCGAACAAAGAATTGCTGAAGGTATTTTTATCATGTCTCTTTCTTAACATTAACTGTAATAAGTAAGCAGGCGTTAAAACTATTTATAAAATTCGAGATTGTTAATATTTTATATCTTTATAATAAAATGCAATTGCATATTTTTGGAATTTTCCATCAAATTGAAGATTTCAGATTAATTTATCGAATAAATTAGTATGGCTAAACAGAGGGGTTAAAAATCAGGATAAAACGTTAAAAAATATTCATAACAATTAAAATAATTAAATTTGGATATAAAAATCTTTTTAAATATAATAAACATGGGAAAATGACGTTTTCAATATCAGATAATGTTGTGTTATACGATGCTAATTATTTGACATCGATATCAGTTTTTGAATTAATATTTACGATCAGCTGGAAAATGTTTAAAAAATTATACATAACATCGGACATTTGTAGTAACAATTTAATGCTTTCGACGTAACGCGTGATACATTTACCCACACGTCATATTTATCTAACAATTACTTCCAATTGTTCTTTTTCTATTATTGAATAATAGAATTTATCCAGAAATTCCGACTTTTATTCATTGTATTGATATTTCGATGCTATTTTAAATCGGAATGTTTCGAGAAGGTAAGTATCACTTTTTTTTTTATCTGTGTGATTAAAATAGAACAAATTTCCCACTTGAAACATTTTCATTATTTATATTAACGATTATTATACAAATTATTGTTGAATTAAATTGATTAGATTTATAAATTGCTCATTTAACCTCGAATCCTTCCAGGTTAAGTAAGCAATTATCGAAAGAACCATTTAAGTATTATATCAGAAGTTTATGAGGAGGAATTTGTTTGTATCTGACATAGGGGAGCAAGTCTTTGATGACGTAAGGATGCACCAAACGTTTATTTTTCTTTCCATTCATTACGGGATGACTGCAATATATTATTATAATATTTCTTTTAAATCATATATTATATATCACGAATCCTTCATATTTCGACAATAATTTATTTATTCTAATGCCCCAGTCTGCGAAATAAACATCGAGACGATCTACTTTTAGAATTCTTCAATATGCACCAAGTAGTTCATTTGCCAGCTTATAGCCGATCCATAAAATGAAAGCAATATTAGAAACAGATACAACTGTTTAAAAACAACTCCTGTATATTTGCAAATTATTTTAACTTCTGGCTTCAGGACATAATTATGGGGAAGAACTAAGTTCCTGTTTCTGAGGAATGGTAATGATAGGGAAGAGGATAGAAAAGCAAATTTTTGTTAGTATAATTCTTTAAGCGTCCCAAGATCCATTTAGAATATCTTAATTTTGATTATGATCTTTATATATTTCAGCAAACGAGGACAGAATGAAAGATAAGCAGATATTAGACAAATTGGAAGCAAAAACAATTAAGTGATTAATTTTAGAATTTTATTCTTGCTTTATGTATTGAAATCGAAGATCGAAGACGTTGAAAGATTTCTAAATTTAGAATTGAGGTATGTGTTTAATCTATATAGAATATTTCAATATTAATCGTGGTTTTTTTTATGTTTCATAAAGCGTGGAAAGAAATTCAAAATCACTCGATGTTGAACATGTTGGAAATAAACTACGGAGAATTGCAATGGAAAATCAGTGGACAGCAGAAAAAGCCAAATGATTTGCGTAAATAAATTCGATCGATGTTAAATTGAGAATTTTCATTAACGGAAATCAATCCAGGGGTCCAGTTATTTCTTTTAACATATTGTATGAAGGATAAAATTTGATATACACAGAAGTTACATTCCGGAATCTGTAAGTGGTGTTTCGTATTTGAACATCAACAGTCCATATGGGACACATAAAGTAAGTGAAAGAGATCATCCTTTTATTTTTTCGATAAAGAATATATTCCTTAATAAACGTTGTAATCGATACAGAAAAACTAAAATTATGTTGTGATACATAAACGAGATTTTCTTGTTCTAGACACAAAACTTGACGATATTAACTTAAAAGTCAAATAAAACACGAAAAGGAATACTGTATTATCATCATTAATGTCACGATACATTAAAGACACCGTATATCTTTTATCTATCATGCATTTATTCATTTCTGAAAATATTTAATTTTTTCACATAAGCATTAAGTTTAATATGTATTTAAGTAACTCGTCTTTATATCTATATACTGTATATAAAATTACTTGTCCTGACTGATTGACTGGGTGATTCATCATCGCCCAGAGCAAACGGTTGAATGTAGAGGTGAAATTTGGTACACAGTTAGGGTACGTCATGAAAACGCACACTAAGAAGGGATTTTTCGAAATTCCCCAGCGGGCGGGAGAGGGAGAGGTTTTACTCTTCATCGAGTACTTAGGTGTATTAAATTAATAACATTTCAGACATTGTATAAATATTTTTATATATTTCGATTTTTTATTCAAATGTTCGAACCGTTTTAAGTTCGAATTTGTTACTGCATATTGGTTCGATTATAGAATGATTGTAAACGTTCCAGAAAATTCATCAAATTGAAAACATTTCGTTTGATTCTCGGCAATTCTCTTCATTCTCAGGGGAAGGTGTTATATAACAATTACTATGGTTATTGAAATACTGAATATAAATAGGGTTTGCTTGCAAAACTTCCGCGGGCGAAGTCGCGGGTAACAGCTAGTATTTTATAAATATTTAATTTCAGATTGTTAAGATAAAAAATAAAGCATTACTTTTCTTTTGTTTTCTTTTTTTTTTCTTTTCTTTTGTTTTATTCTGTTAATACTTAACTTTAATAACTAAACAGAACTTATTTACAACTTCTCAACCAGACGAAACTCTGACAACTAACAACTTTACCATTGTTGCCAGATATAAATATACAATAATTAACACAGATATTTGATAAGAATATCATCTGATTGTTTTGCGTTAAGATAGAAGTTTTTCGACATTTCTTTCACAATACAAGAAGGAAGAATCGAGATAAGTCTTTTCTATACCTTTTCTGTACCTTCAATATTTATGATAATTAACGGATTGAAATGTTATAGGTTCTTTTGAAAAATTTAATAATTACATAAGCTTAGATTGTTTTGTATTAGTATTATAATTTGACAAATCAATAAGCTTTTTTTAAATAATACTGTAACATCGCTCAAGTTATTTTCTTGGGAAAGTCGGAAAGCAGGCCTACGTTTATAGAATCAATATATTCTCATACTATTAGAAATATCAATGAAACAGTTAGTGTAAATCAACTTACTTGATCTGTAATTGACTATAAATGACTATGGATAAAAAAAATTATCTTCCAAAATCAATAACAATTATCCCAATACTCTATACCCTAAGTGGGGAACCTGCGGCCTCCGCGAGGTTCTTGTGCGGCTCTTTGCCACCTAGTACAAAATGGTAGAGTTCGTTTCAAACAACTATTGTACATCAACGCCATGACAGTTGCGCGAAAAATCCCTACGAAGGTTGTTGTGTCATCAAATTTTTAGGCGGGGAACCAGTTATTTTGTAGACACAATTGTGATGAAAAGGTTTTTTTTATCTGTTTGTAAAATTCTGATGCTAATACTTAAGTTTCTTGAGATGAAAAAATCGGTGGTATTACTTCACGGATTAGCCGCAGGTAAGCTGTAATGTATTTTCATTAATTAGAGGCAACAATTTACTTTTCTTCGCAAATACAATTTACTTTTCTTCGCAAATTACTTCTTTCTTAAAACGACAAGCATCTGTACCTGTTACATCATATGAAGCCTAATTACAGACGAAAATGCCAAGCAGTAAATCTGATATTAAGTGGCCAAAAATAGATACAGAAAGTCTGGAAAATGTCACTGAAGCCGTCACAGGTCTTCTAGTGTTGACGGCCGGATGGTCAAGCGGTAAATGTAGCAGCCTACCGCTTTGGAGGATCCGGGATCGATCCGGACGTGTCGAACGGTCCCCAGGAATTTTTCGGGGGTGGTCTGTCTGGAAATGTCGGGCTCCGTTTCTCATCACCCGGCCGACCTATTGTGGGCTTGGCCGAACCCATAATGGGCCTGCTATAAGAGGCTTTCTTAGTGCCCACAGGGCGGAAAGAGTAAAAAAAAGTACTACTAAGCTTATTTACGGGGGTGCAATTCAGCCACCACTCCTCTATGCCGTTCAGGTCTGGGGCCACGTGGCTGCCAAAGTCCGTAACCGTAAAAAACTATTATCTGTTCGAAAGATTGCAGCTCTCCGCATTTGTCAGGCTTGTAGGACCGCACCCACTAGTGCCCTTTAGGTAATGTCAGGATTGACCTTCATCGACTTAGAAATTAAACGCATTATTTGGCAGAAAAATCTTGTCATTTTACCTTGACGAGATTATAGCGACTCAGATGTCGACAAAATGATTAGAGTAGGTAAGATTTCCCCTTTCCCAGTTTGACCTTTACCGATGATATCAAAAAATTCAGCATCGACAAAAATACCCTTTCGATTACCATCCCTCCCATCAGCTTGCCCCTGACGTTTACTTCGAACATCCAGATGATCATCCCATGTTTAGGATTTACACTGACGGTTCCAAGATGGGTGACGATTGGATGCCGCTTTTGTAGTTTACTCCGACATAGGCCGCGAGCTTCACAACGCATGCTTCTGACTTGGTTCACAGTGCTCAATAGCACAGGCGGAAACTTTAGCTATTTATATGAGCTTAATTCATATTAGACACTACTTACACCAGTGTTTTTCAACCTTTTCGAATACGCGACCCCTTTACAAGTTAAAAAATTCTGGCGACCCCCTAGGGCCATATTAAAACTATATCAGTGATTTTAAAAACTATGTACAGTTGTCCTTCTGTAGTCCGACGTTTTTTAATCCGACATGCTCAGCAGTCCCACGCACCTCCCGTCAAGGTACATGTCCCCGTTACGTGTCTGCTTGCACAGAAGCATGTCGCAATGTGAATCTCCCCATCCAATTCTTACTCGATGACACACATTTCGTGTGTTTTATGTGAGCAGTTCTGTTCGAACAGTTGGAGTAGAGAATATTGTAAGTTACTGCTAGCAAAACAATGCGAAATATGTAATTATTTTCGGTAATCCGGACACTTTTGGTAATCTGACACACCTTTGGTCCCATACCTGTCGGATTATCAAGGGACAACTGTATTTAATTTTCTTTCTGTTGAGAAAAATTATTGTTGATTAGAATAAGATGTTGGGAAGAATCGACAATAACTTAAGACACGTATAGTATAGTATGAAACTTCCTTTTCATTATAACATTTAACTCGGGGTGCTGTTGACCTGTTTTTTTTCTTTTTTTTTAGGATTAGAGTTTTCAACTTCTACTTTTCTACTTATTACTTCTTTTAAAAGTCGGCTCAACACTTTTTCGGCTATCATTTTCTACAGTGGGCCGTACCTACCCAGACCCCTCCCTGGCGACACCCATCGTTCAGACCTAAATGTCGATCAAAAAACCAATTGTACTGTATAATAAACAGGTACTCGCTGAAATTGTAGTTTTTTTTAATGTAGTGTAGGACCTACAAACATTTGTCTTTTTCTTTTACCCGTGACCCCCCGTGTAAGGCTTCGCGACCCACAGGTTGAAAAACACTGACTTACACTATCGCATTTATTCTGACATATATAGGGTAGCTTTACACAGGATTGCGAAGTCTGATAGCCTTTTAAAACTCGTCCATCTCATACACCACATTCTCAGACACTTAGACAACAACATTAGAATAGATGCCCAATGAGTCCCGGGTCATGCGGGGGTTCTCGGCAACGAGACCGCTGACTGTGTTCGTCTTGCCAAACAAGCTGCAATGTCTTCAGTCACTAGTACTTTCAGTTACGTTCCTACCTCGTACATCGACAATCATGGCAAGAAGCAAATCTTCATTCTCTTGCCAGAGAATGAAGATTTGGGACCGTGACATTACTGGTAGGCTCATCTACACTTTCATCCCCAAGGTTGACACTACTGCGACTCTTCGCCACTTTTACTATAGTTACACCCTCACTCAGCTATTTACAGGACACGTAACTTTAAGCAAGACTTGCATAGATTTAACCTTGGGGACAATCCACAATGCGATTGTGGTATTCAGGAGGACCAAACACCACTTCACTTAGTTTTTCGCTGCAATAAAAATTTTCGGTACAATCACATTAGGGATAGTTTAATTAGAGATTGTAAGGTTGCCGACGTTAAGGGGGAAATAAAGTCTATCTCGCGTCAGAATGAGCCTAAGGGAAACCGCGTATGTGGGCGGTGGCGAAGGAGGCAAATGATGTACAAGTGTTTTACAAGATAAAACCCGTTTATTTGTTCGAATTCATGCTTACATCGATATAGGACAATTCCAAAATCTCGGTGCTCCTGGGAACGGCGAAAGTTCGTGTGATGGGTCACAGTTCCGGCGGACGAGAAGGATATCTGGACGACACAGAAGTTCGTTGTTTCGTTGCGGCTTCCTTGGCGATCGGCGGATGCACAACACAATCTAAATTACCACTGTAGGCTTAATCCGGAGGAGACTCTCTTCCGACCGTGAAGTTCCGATTCTTATAGTTTTTCCCCCACTGTTCGCATTTTGGATTGGTCCCTCGTTCCATTCCTCGCTTCCCGATTGGTCTCTCCTTTGTCTCCAGGTGCAAGACGAAACTTTTTCGGGTCGCGGGAATGGTCCGATTCGAGGTGTCCATCCGATAGCTCTTTGTCGACTCTGCTCGGTGACTGTTTATAAAATAATAACACCTGCACTCATAACTCCGGCCGTTATTTACCATTTTTTTGACGTCTAAGAATTTAACGATCATTTTTCATCTTTCATCTATCAAAAATTCCTTTTTTTGTTCGAAAAGGTTTATCTCGGCCAACATTTTATAGACACGCGAGTCAAAGATCTACCTGTTTATGAGCGCTCGTGTTAGAGTTTGTCTTCCGCTAAGACCTTAACAGATAGTTGACACATACTCGAGCCGTTCCGAGTCTCGTTGTTTACATCTTGTGTCGCGCAAGAATTTCACAGTTTACTCGAGTTCGAACCTCATCTGGGAACTCACAAGATGATATTCTTGAAGGGTACAACTGGCCTTGCAATCCGCATCAACTCATTCACACGCGTACAATGTTCCATCATCTACTCACATTTATATCTCTTGGTGGGGCTCTCGAGGGGCACGAATGGCAATTAGCTTTTCCTTGCTTTGTTACGTCAGTATATAGCTTTCCAGTTTTTTGCCTGATTTTGTTTATATAAATAAATATTCAAAGTTTTAATTTAATATTTTATGAATTATTATTATATAAGAAAGTTTATGTATTATTTAAAAAAAAAAAATAATAATAATAATTTAATCATCGTAGAAAAAGTAGTAGGTTGGCAACACTGTAACGAGTTTGTTGTGTTTGTGGGTAATGTTCGTCTGATTTGATTCATTACAAAGTGTATGTGTTTGACGCAAAGATAAGCTACACCATGTAAATTCCTTCAATTTTAACGAAAAATCGCAAGATCCAAGGTAAAATTATACGTTATTTGTTTAAAATTATCAATTATTATACTTCTACTATTTTAAACTACTAATATAAACAATATATAAAAACAATATTTGTTAATTTTCACAATAACATCTTATATGACTGAGAATTATTTATTAACTTTAAGAAATGTTTTTAACCTGTTCTACATGCCATCTCCAAGTTTTTAAAAAGCTATGGATCATTGATAACTGGTTAAAAACACATTTAAAATACAAAATTTTTTGGAATATTGAGCTAAATTACAGTAATATATATATATATACAATTTAAAATAACAAAATAATAAATATAATAAGATAAAAAGGGAACAATAAAAAAAATTACATTCATAACATAAGTTGCATCGGTTGCATCATGCGTAACGTAACATCAGTTGTTGATTATATGGACATTATGCACTATTCTTCAATAAGTTCTTTCCAACTATATATTTTGGTACTTTTCGGTTAACGGGTTGCCAGAATACTGTTGCATTTAACTATTTAGCTCATAGCACTATGCTGGCTTCGAGTAGTCCACTTGACTGTTTGTGGAGTACTTGATGTTATATAGTTTTAGAGGGCACTGAGGTGGAAGCGATAGCGAGCACCGATGCACACATCTACGTGCGAAGCATGTTGGATAGGCAGTATACTGATACGTATTACAAACTGACCTTTGAAGGTGAATATATCATGAAGGATAGACAATTCTGGGGGTGGTGTGAAACCCCTCGTTCGGAGCTTGAATCTTTCCCATTGCTTTATATATCAGCTGGCATCCCATTAACCAAAAATTACCTATATTTTCACACTGGATAATACTGCAGCATCCTCATAGTTCATACATNTCTACTATTTTAAACTACTAATATAAACAATATATAAAAACAATATTTGTTAATTTTCACAATAACATCTTATATGACTGAGA